ATTTATGCTTTATGAATTATGGCTGAAGATTCCTATCAAGCACAGAGAGTTGGATATCAGAAGAGATCATTGAGGTTTTCTGGCCACTCTCAAGCTGGAAGCATTCCTGCCAGTCCAGAGGAATTTCATATATACAGTTAGCGAAGGAAAATCCAAAGAAATGGAGTATATTGTTTATTTGACTCCCAGCCGCACAGCAAAAGAAGCAAATGATCTCAAAAGTGATAAATGCACAGACTTTCCTGAAAAAACACATGTTGAGATGAAATGTTGCCAGTCAATGTGGAAGATTTTCCATTTATTTTTCTTCGCCACTGCATCAAAAGCGTTACATTGACGGGAAAATTCCATTTAATTTCTATTCTCGTGTGAGATTTCACAAATTAAATGCGAAATCAAAACCTATCTCAGGCCTCAGGAGTGAAATTATTAAAATATTTTCACACTAGATTCTGATGGTTAATTAGGTGAAATTCATGTGCTGGATGGGAAAGAATTTAATCGATTTGCAATAGAAAATAAGATCACGATTGCAACATTGAACTGAAGATATTGAGCAGCTGCTGTGCATTTCCGAGACTTTTCTGAAAGAATCTCTTTCTTGTCGTCATCTGTTGATCTAGTAAAAACATTATGTTGAGTGAAAGAGGAACAGCGAGAGAAATCTCAGGGAATGAGTTGAGAAAACTTAGATTAATGATAGGTAAAATATACAGGGAAAGTTGCTCATAATGAGCAATATTTTCGTGAGAATTTATCAAAATAAAATTGAAAAATATCCACATCTATTCGGAGTCTGTTTATCTCACAATCTGAATCAGTGTAATTTGTGATTAATTGGATTCTAAAATTCGCATCTGGAGTTCATTCAACTCTGCGTCTGTGTGTAACTCTACACTAATTTTATATTGACAATTAGCGTATGTTGACCCTAAAAATAGACCCAATAATAAAATGGAGGGAAAAACAGCATCAAAGTCAGACTAACAATTAATTTAGTGAAGTAATTTTCGCCCACGCTGCGCATTTTTTACCAGCATTTAATTAGCTGACGCGAAGGAAAATTGCAAAAAAACACACACATTATGGGAAACGTGAGAGAAATCTTTGTGCGGCGTTGAGTTTAAATTTTGTCAAATGAAAATTGCAAATAGAAGGAAATATTGACACCGACCGTGGAGAATAAAATAAAGAACGATGGTGGAAGAGGGGGGAGAGGATTGTGCAAAAGAATCAGTGAACCGTCAATCTCTTAGCATCTCCTCAAACACCATGAGTCACTCTGGACTAGAGCTTGTCTTGGCCGTTTCGCAAGGCAAAGTATCATGCTGAATTATTTCCAAATTCGACTTTTACACTAAATTGCGCTACATTTATTGTTCTTGCTAAAATAATAGGCTAGAGCGAGCGCAAAGTGAGAAAGGGAGAAGTGAAAAGTGAGAAGGAAAACATTAAGCACAACATTTCATAATTATTCTAGTCGACTGATCATCAAAATGTGCCCCCTAAAATTGCATAAAGCTCTCACAGAGTTTCTTCAAATGTTACTTCAGTGCTCTTCTTGTCCCTTGCACGCACTGCTCTGTTGAGAAACTCTTTCTTTATTGTGCGCCTCTGTGTTGTTGTGATCTTTTGCAGGGATCGAGGAAAAATGTCACCGCATGGCATTTCTTTCGACAAAGAAGCACTTGTTGAGTGTGGAGAGGAAAAACTGGCACAAGATGTGGCGAGGAAGTCGATGATGTGCTTCTGTGGCGACACACAAACAAAAAAAAAGGTGAGCAGAAGACGATTGCATATAGTGAAATTAATCTCTGAGGCGCGCACTAAAAGGAGCATAAAAGACATAGTAAATCTACTATACCTAAATATGCAGCCAAGCATCTCCGCGAGGTAGAAGAAAATGATATGAAATGATGAAAATTGTTGTGATTGATGATCTCTAGCAGAAAGCAGTTGAAAGAGGGAAAATTACCATTGAAGTTGCGAGGGTTAATAGCTTGGAAAAGAAATGTGCGCGACAATTTGTTGCGTTGAAAAAGAGCCACCAAAATGTTCAGATAGAATCGCGGACAAGTTCTGGTCAAGAGATCAGGAAAATTTATGGCTTCAGCTTTGCAACAAGTTGCTGCTAATTGTATAAAAAACAAATCTTTAATTTACAACCCATCGTGCTAATTGCGAATTCACTCCACATATAATTGAAACTAGCCTTGAAGGCCTTGTTTCATAGCCACACTTTGCGGATTTTGCAGAAATTGCGTACAAGAATGAAAAAAAGAAACAATTAGAAGACAAATAGATCGCGGATTGATATCAGGGATTGAACATTTCCGCCTCTTGTTTTATTGCATCCTTGGACTCTGCAATTTTCTCTCATCTAATGAACTTACAACACATTTTGAATGCGAAGAAAATTTACAGAAATACATCGAAACACCAGGAAGAATCGCAAGATTCGATTTAGCAAAATAGTGCATTTTGACTTGGACAAATTACCTGCAATTCTGTCTCAACGTTTAAATGGTGAAGAGACATAAGAATAGCAATAAGGAAAGTGAAGAAAAACGCACAACGACCACAAGAGTCTGACTGTATGGCTTTGAATTTATTGGTCAAGATAAATGCTGAATATATTGAGTAACTTTTATCCAATGGCTCGTGTGTGTGATTTTGTATTTGTTGACTTCGAGGTCAGTTGTGTCTGTCTGAAAAGCCCAACCATTCACTCTCCATCTCAAGCCTGCCAAGAGACACTCGAGGCGAACAATGAAACGTCTCAGAAAAGCCACAATCTTGCAGAAACTCTTGGTCAATTGGGTGATTTTCTATGGAAGTTGTACGTTTTTCTCACTTGAGCCACAAGAATCGCCATAAAATCACCTGAAAGCCCATTCATTTTTTCCTGCACTCTCAACTCCCTCTCAATTACTAATTGTATGCACTGCAAGTTGTGTTATTTCCTCCATAAATGTTTGGTTATTGGCGATTTAAGATTCGATTATCGATAGCACACCTAAAACGAGTGTAATTGAATTACTTAAAGGTGCTATGGCTTATGAATTGGGTCATATAACTATATCATGATTTATAATACTTCACGTGATGCATGAACAAACAGTCTGGCAAGGGTTAAATTCATGAAAATTCCCTCCATTCATTTTCCTCATTATATATTTTTATACTCTATGAAAAATCTCTCATGAAGCTGACGAGGTTTCATGAGACACACGATAGACAAACCGCAGGCCACGGGATATTTTTGAAATACACTTCACATGGTCAAAGAGTCAAATGGGTGGTATTAATACATGTAATAATATACTATTCATTTGGCAATATTTGCTTTGTCGACTCATGGAAAAATCACCCATTTCCGCATTTCGATTTTTGCCTATGAGTTATTTTGATTGTTAAAAGTCATGTGCAATCAAATTAATGGAACGAAGGGTCGTCAGACTCTGTCTATCTATCGGAATGCTCTGAGAAATGGATGGCAATAAAATCCTGTGCACATGTTGATAAAGAGGCGTGATTGGAGATGCTCTCTTCCCGATAGAAGCATGCGGAAATTGAGTGAATTCCCGCAGTGAATGTCTTCCCTATATTAATATTCGCCCTCCACTCTCGGAAATTCATTAACCCAAAACACACCCAAGACGCCGAAGAAGTGGAAAAGAAATGGAAAGAGAGAGAGAAAAATGCAAAGAGAAATATCACGAAAGAAATGAAATTGAGAAGTGAGCGCGAATGAGCACGCAAATTACCCAGTGGGACAGAATTAGAATTAATTAAATTACATATTGAAACTCTTTTCTTCGCTTTCATAATGGTCACGCTGTGGGGGAACAGCAAAAAAATCGCACACAGTGTGAAAAACGCTGCTGATGCAGTGATGAAGGGATTTGTGACGACAGAGGGATAATCCGCTGCATACCAATGAGACATGGATGGTGTCACAGGGCAAATAAAGTGTTTTGAAAGGCTTCGTTGCATTGCAACAAAACACACACGGCGCTCAGATGACGTAAATCTTGGCAAAAACCCTCAAACCTTGAGGCTAAAGCGCGCGGCTTTTTATCTCGCTAGAGGGTTTCTTGCATCCATGAGACGAAGAATCCTTGGCGGACATTTGAAGCCAGAGTAATGAACTTTTCCCATTGAATATTTAAATTGATTTTGTTGCTCGCATCTCACGATGCTGTATTGACTCATCGGATTGGTCATTTTGAGGATGAGTAGTTGCACAATTGATATGATGTTAGGCGTCAAAAATAATAGTGATCTTAAGATATTCCAAGGGGTTTTGCAACGGTTTCATACTGCAAAATGAAGCACAAGTGACAATTTCAGTTTGAACCTGAGCTTAAATTTTCCCAGTTCACAACAGATGATCTAAAGTCAAGAAATAAGACCTTTCTTCTTACTATATTTATGTAAATGGGAAAGTTGTAATACTTTTCAAGCATCCATAAATATAACTATAAGTTAAATGCATTCCGTGACATCATTATTCATTGCATAAACCTTATATTCTTGGTATTTATATTCAATGAGTGCAATTAAAATATTCTCCCGAGCCAATATGATATCATTCATCAATGATTCGTGAAGGCTATCACCTGAAATACAATCAACACACTAACGATCATATTTCAAATGATCATCAAATATGATCGCTTAAGCATTTTTGTGATGAAAAGGTCGAGGCGAAGAGATATTCAATACACAAAAGGTGTAACTTTAATTAAATACTTATCAATTGAACTGTCTTGTTTCCTGATACTTTGCAAATATATATTTCACAATCTTATATTTCTTTCGCGGGACTCGCGCTCTGAATTTCATGAGAAACCTTCACAGTATAAATTCAGTCCAATTGCTGATCTTTTTCATACATCTCGCTTGAGTCCATTTAATAATTTGGCGTGTGTTTTATTTGGTGAAAACGTGACCACGAGAAGGTGATATTTGCAAAGAAATTCACTCTGATGACTCACCTCAAGCTTAGTCGAGTACTCCTCAATGATTTTCTCCTGTTGCTTGGCCAGCTCTTCGTTCTTCTCCAGCAGCGCCTTGCCCAGCTCGGCGGCCAGGACCAGGTCGGCCTCCTTCTGCTGCAATTGCGTCCAGAGATCACCCTCTGACGCCTTGCCGTTGTCTGGCGGCCTCGTCTCCATGTCGAATATGTAATCCTCGAGGGTTGGTTTGGTCTTCTTAGCTGCCGTTGCCATCACTTTTCGCACTCGTGAGTGGTTGATGATTTATGGATTCCGTGGCATAAAATTGTGAAGAAGAGTCGTTGAAAATACTCAATTTTTATCACTCTTGGACACGAAATCACATAATTTTCTCTTTTTCTTCACACTCTCCAAAGCCACAGGGCAAAAATTCCAGATTAATAAGCAGTGATGCTCATGTTTGTAAATAAATTTACGGGGAAAATCCACTTTTTGTCACTTTCAACCACTGTTTTATTGATTGTGGCACACTGTATTTTTATCGATTTCTCCAGAGTATCGGGATTACTCAATCTTTCGCTGGTCTTTTTTCCAGCACATTTTTGGCCAGTGCGAAATGTGAGATAATTGTGCAAAATCGTACACAAGTTCGAGAGAGTCGAAATTTTCCACAAACAGGCACAAGATGAAGGTTGAAAGAAGTTCGCACGCAAATTCTCTTTATAGGTGTAGAATATAGAGAACAATGTAACGATAAATACTATATTGATTAGAAACTGATGTTAAATGTGTTGTTAAATTTAAAGCTTCAATGTCTCGAGATGTAATTGCACTTTTCTCCACACATTCTCACTCGTTCGATGTCGTGTGAGTCAATATCAGCCAGAGAGCACACTGGATACCAAAATCCCACTTATTATTTCAGGTGAGTCACTGGGCATGATGGAAGTCTCATCGGCTTTGTGTATCTCTGGCGATAGCACTGACTGATAAGGGCGCGCGCGATCGGCGACGAGGGACAAATTGGAAAATTCAATACAGCTGTACAGATACGAGGGTGGGAAATTGATTGGGCAGGAAATGCTCTATCACTGTTCCTCCTGACACGGCGCACCGCGAAAGTGGGAGCGAGGAATGAAGGCAGCAACAGTTCCACCTCAACCAGTCACACAACCAACACTGAGAGTCTCATGAACTCTGGAGTCTCTGGCCACCGCGATAGTTTCATGCCACGAGCGCGAGAGTGGTGCTCCGCTGCGCGAGGAGGACGGAAAAGCTGCCCGGCCACGAGGCAGAGAGAGAGCAGCACAGGCCCATGAGGTGAGGAGCGTTCGGCTCTCCCAATGAAAAATGATATCGAGAGAGAATTCAACGGAATGAAAACGGTAAAAGTCGACAAAGAACTTTTTGGCACACTGCAGAAGAAGAGAGAGAGAGAGGCCTCCTGTGGGAGGAAATATGGGAAAATTCTCATGATTTTCGCGCGCCAAAACAATCACTCTACAATTCCCGGATCTGCCGGGGAGACAATCAGCAAATGGGCAGACACTTGGTCTATTTTTTGTGCGCTTCTAACCACGCGTTGCCGCCCACGCTCCTCAGCACACCTGTGCCAATGACTCTTGGACTTCTTCTTGGGCGAAGTGCTGGAAAAGCCCGCAGAAAAGACACACAATCACGATTCCTCCGAGAGGTGAGATATTTAAGAAATTCACTTCCATCAACTTCACTTCCTGCCCACGCCGAAGAGACAATTTCACGAGTCGCGGCATCACTTCCGCATTTTAGGAAAATTCCACTGCACCATGAAAAATCCCCGGAGACACAAGTGCCAGTGGGAAAACCTTCCACACTGAGAGTGAGAGGACTTTGCGTGTAATGAAAGATTTAAGAAGGTCACTCACGACACAATATTGCTGACACATTCGCCAGTCTTTTGGCTTTGGAAGGGTGTATATTATTCGCTCGCACTGTCCCTCGAAGTTTTTCGATTAGAAGGCAGCCAAATTCACAAGGTTTTACTATTTCTTTATGCTTTTCAGATACACGAGCGCTCACGTTCGCCCCGAAAAAGTTGGAAGAGTTCTTCAGCCGTCACTATCGATTAAATAATGAGGATATACACAAATTGCTGGGCTGCTTTCACATCGATAAAACTCAAGTGGCGAGCAAAGTGAGTTCCAAACAGAAATCACCCTGGAAACGAGGGTGTGTAAATAAAATTCGTTTTATTGTTTTTTCTCTATTTCAACAGAGAAATCGAATGGCGATAGGAAGATTGAAAATTGTGGACACTTAGGAAATTTCCCAGTGCAATAAAATGTCGAGTGCAGCAAAGAGATCATCCGCGATCGGATCGGCGGACTTTGAGATGGACCAAATGGCCGAGGCGGAGCTGCAGAGGCTGCAAAGGCAGGTAGGTCACTGCTGTTTTCACTGGAGGACACACAAGTAGAGCGATAATTGTTGAGATATCGCGACAATATGCCCAGGGAGAAACGCACAGATGACGAAGGGTGGCAAGAAGTTGGACAAAAACGAGAGAAATAATTAGGAAAACAGCTGCAGATGAACTCACATGGGTTTCTTTGGCTGTCAATGCACAACCATCGAGCGCATATACCATCTCTCCCCTATTCGAGGAGACATTCATTTTTATTTCAAAATAATAATTTTTACGCGACTCTCCTATATCGTGAGAGGCGATCGTTGAGACTGTTTTCAATATCACTTTTGCCGCAAAATAATGAATAATGGGTCCGAACATCTTTATCACACCTGTCTCTTTTCATGTACCTTTCAATACCCCATGTTTTCGTGATAAAAACTTCATCATTTACATTCCTCGTCGCTGTTTTGCCGCACAAACACACCCAAGAGGCTCATTATCTTTCGCCTTTTTTGCCTGGGACATTTATTAAAAATATATTTTGCAGTCATCAGCCGATGATAAAGCCTTCAATGTGCGCTTTTTACCGCCGCTCTGCAATAGAAGATTAATTAAAGACGAATTTCTCAGGGGTTTCATTCGTCTTTCCTTTCGCTTTTGCGGAACAGCCGAACATGCGATATCGCCAAGATCGATTTTGTGCGAATTTGTGTGTGATGCAATAGAGATAAAGAATGTTCTATAAATTGAACAATTTCCGGTAGTTTTTTTCCTTGTCTTCTGCAAGGTTTTGAGGAAAAAATCAAATTTATTTGCGTTGGTAAATTTATTCGCTATCATTATAAAGTGTTTTTCCAGCTTAATCCCTGCAATATTTCATAATTATTCAATTTGTGATAAGCAATCTGATAAGTATACTCTTCTGTTGGAAAGAGAGTTTTCTAATGTGGCTATGAATTATAAATTGAAACGCAAATTGGCACTTTTAGCGCTGATCGGATGAATGACGTTGTTTAGAAGAGTTATATTCAGCTTTTAGCTTCCTTCTTATGGAAATTGAATCGCAGTTTTATGCCAAAATGTATTGCATGTCTCGATTCCTCAATTACCACGCCCATTTCTAAGTTCTGCCCACTTTGTGTTAGTCACAGCAATAAGAAATGCATATGAAAGAAGGAATTCTGAGAACAGGACGAGAAGGATTCACGAATAAAGAGGATCACAAATCCATAATGCAATTTCCACACTTTTCTTCCTCTTCCTGTCTATCCCATTAAAAATCTCTAACGATTGCGAGGGTGTCACCGGATATGAATTTATTGAGCCACAACTGGAAGCCGGTGAGCACTTGAAAGTGTGTCTTTTCCATGCGTTCCGGATGATGAAACGGGGGCAAAAAGGAAAATAGGTAATTCAATACAAGGGTGGATGAATTACTGAATAGAGATGGAGAGTGTAATTCACCGAGTAGATTCTCAATCTTGGCGATCCTCATGATTTCCATTTCCGACCTTTTTTCCGTTGCGGCTGTTTTTTTCACCCACCATTTGGTCCCAGATGCTCGTGAGGGTGAACACGTGCCAAGTGCGAGCAGATGTTGGGAGAAATCTCGAGATGTTGAGATTTTATTGCGGAGCGATGGGAAGTGAGATGATCGCGAATACAATTACACGAAGATCGCATAAATTGTCTTTCAGCGGCGCGTGATGGAAAATGAACGGGCGACATTTAACGAGGAGCGTGTGAAGAAATCCCGGCAGCAGAAGAAGATAATTGAGATTCTGCGTCGTGAGCAGGAACAGTTGCAAGAGGAGCTGAACAGCATTCTCGTGGGTCCACATGCGAAGCGTGAAAGTGAATTGGAGCAGGAGATGAGGCGTCTCGAGGCGGAGATCGAGAGCCACACGCAACTGTTGGATGTGGAGAAGGGCAATCTGTGGGAGCTGGACGGCCACATCAGGAAGCTGCAGAAGGAGATTGATCGCCTGCGGGGCAATCAAATCACCGATCATCGCTACAACGAGAAGATTTGCAAGATGCAGAAGGACGTGGTGAAGCTGGAGAATCGCCTGGAGGTGGCGCACAAGCGAGCGGGAGCTGTGATGGCTGAGAACGCCGAATTGCGACAGATCATCGATCACATGCTCCAGGAGAGGTGGGTGGATGTGGGTCACCTGTTGCAGTGCAGCGCGTGAGTGTGATTGAATTGCAGGGCGCTGTTTAACGACGTGTGGGCGAAGATGGTGACGCAGCTGAACCAGGGAAAGAAGCACATGATGGACCTCATTGACCAGTCCACGGCGGCATACGATCAGCGCGATGAGCTGTGCAACAAGCTGCAGTTGCTGAAGGATCGCAACCAGGCGGACAAGATGGCTCACATCCAGGAGATGCGCGAACTCCAGCGAAAGCTCGATCATGATGCCAAATTGCACCAATTTCTGGGCATCAAGGGTCAGCATCGGGTCAACACGGAGCTGGACATGCGAGAGGCCAACAAGAAGCGCGTGCTGCAAGAGCAGCTGGAGAGCCAGCTCGAGGAGTACAACACGATTCTGAAGCGAATCAGGGTGAGTCTTTATCAATCGCTTGCGGGAAATTATTCAGAGAATCCGCGAGATAATTGGAAACTGAAGAGGTTTATTTATTGTTTAGCAATTATAGAAAAGAAGCTTGAGAGTGAATGTTTATTTATATGATTTTTTCACTTTTCACTATTATAAGTGCAATAAAATAAACCTCCATTTCATGCTTTTTTAGTCACGAACGTATAGAGTTTTTCCCAGTGAAAAAATTGCAAAGAGTCGCATTCAATTGTCTTCAGGATCTTTTCTGTGTTAAGAGAATTTACATGAGCTTGTGTCTCTAAATGTGGGGTTTTATTCATGCATTACAGCAGAAATTCTCTTAATAAGCGTCAGGTGGTAAAATTGACGCGATAATTGCGATATTGCAGTGAATACAAAGACAAGACAACAGTTTATCGATAAATCGTTCCTTCGAACAATGCCTTTCAATGGAGCATTTCAGTCTAGAATTAACTTTAAATGGCCAGAAGAAAATTCTTTGTTATCCAATGTTGTGGGAAGATGAGAAACTGGTTCCTTTCCGAAGAGTTCGGCTATGGAAGATTTATTCAAAATATATGGCAATTGATGCTCTATTCATTTTTTAAACAAAAGCGACTCCCGGATCTTTTAGGGTTAATAACACTGGCAAATTGAAAAATAATCATCTCCATTTCTGGTCACATTCAGTGAGGAATATCGGGTTTTATGCAAATTAGGATGTTCATTTCTGTGCAGAAGTTTGGCTTTCAGAATAATCTGGACACTTTCTCCCACACTTCAGGCCTTCTCAACCGAGGAAGACATCGACAAATTGGCCTCTCAGTTTGTGAAGCAGGAGGAGGAGAATTTTGCCTTATTCAACTACGTTAATGAACTGAGCCACGAAGTGGAAACGCTGAATGAGAGTGTCCAGCGTCTGCAAGACAGCATTGGTGAGTTGCTTGAGAACAATCTCAGTGCAGAGAGAGTGAAATTGATGCGACACGCTTGAGAATCGATATGAGAAGACGAGAGGAGGTCAGCGTGGTGGAAAATGAGAGACACTCACTGAATTGTTTACCAAATCATCACGAGTGTGTGTCTCTCCTTTTCGGTGGAGGGAAGAAATATCTCGCACAATTGAGAATATGATGTGTTGATTACCATCAACATATATAAATTTTATTGTGAATTGCAGAAGAGCAGAGGGGACTCAATGAAAGTAAGAAAAAGTCTCAAATGGACACCATTGAGTCGCTGGAAAAAGAGCTGGAGCTACAGACCGAGAAGGTTTAATTGGAGTGTCCAACAAATTGCAATTACAAATCGCTGTAATCTCTAATCTCTCCGTTTTTCTTTTGCCTCTCTTTTCGGCAGGCGGATCGTGCCAATGACATAAAAGTCACGTGCGACGAGAAGCTCAATGAACTCCTCACGGGCGTCGAGAGGATCTTTCGGCTCATCAGGTGTGACGATGCACCAGTGCTGAATCTCCTGGGCATTCACAAGCGCGTCACCATCACCAATGTGCAGCTGTTCCTCGGCATCATCGAGAAGAAGACCAATCAGATGATCGCCACGATCACGTACGTCGAGCCGCCGTCGAAGATTCTCGCGAAGAAGGATCGCATTCCCAAATTCAACGTGCGCGAGTCGGCAAAGGGCCATCGAGGACAGCAAAAGTGAGTCGCATGTGACAAAAACGACTCTATTGTTAACTCAATTTTGGGCGTATGTACAAAAATCAGTGAGTGAAAAAACATGATCTCTAAGCCTAAAGACTGTCCTGCAGAGGAAACACTTTCACTAGCATGGTTAAGGGCATTTGTTGCGCAGTCTACGGTTGACTTCTTGAAGACTTTTTCTTGTAAAATGCTCCGCTGCAATTGACTAGAATCGCAGCTTGCTCATGTCGGCGATCACGCGCTGTGATCCTTTCGCGATCGCGCCTACGGCGTGCTAGTGAGGCGTCACTGGCATTCCCTGGTGGTAGCCACGGATGAGAGGCAATCCCGTGCCCACTCTCTTCTGGTACTCCACGTAGTCCTCACCGAAGAAATTGTGCAGCGTGATTTCCTCCACGAAGACGCGATCCCGGAAGAACATCCAGCTGATTATTGCGTACAAAATGATGCACAGTGGATTCACCAGAACAATCTGCAATGGAAATGGATAAAAATGAGATTTCCAACTCTCCCAAAGTGACATTATCATATGCTGCATTAAAAACTAATAACGATAGTTCAGCTCTTTGGCGATACAATGAAATCGCAAAGACATAAAATTATCATCTCTGCCAACAAAGATCCTCTGCGTCTAAATGCCCGTGAAAACTGTGGCAAAATTTGTGAAATTATCAATTACCGTTTGCATGGTGCAGAGTGATAAATCAAAATTTATTCTCAAATGTCCGGCGCAGAGATGAAAAGTATAATGTTAGAAATTCCATAGAAAAAACAGTTTTTGAAGTGGCTGAAAGTGAAATTCCTCGATCATCGCATAAATTCGCTGATCTACTTTTGGGCTCAGAGGCAATTAGATGCAATAAATTATTAGATATACTTCTCAAGACTCTGCTTGAGAAAACAAACAGTGAAAAGAGAAAATATGGGTTGGTTTTGGGCAGGAAAATGTGCGATTGTCTGGCAAGATTCGATCGCTGTGGGATTAGATATTCGTGGTCTATTTCCTGGCGCGTCTCACCTGCGTTCCGATTGACCACCAGAACCATCCGACGTAAGAAGGATGCCGCATCCAACCGTAGACTCCGTTTGTGACCAATTTGTGCTCTTCATCCCTCACGAATTGCACCTGAAAAGGGCGACAGGATTACTGAACTGTTCATTAGGCATTCCAGAGAGTCTTACAATGTGCGTGAAGTTTGTGTGAGCTGTAATCATAGCGATTTTCCGCAGGAAATCTCCCAAGAAGCACATCAGGAAACCAATAATCCAAAATGTACGCCAAGTTTTCATGTCTGAAAGGAGGAAAGTAATCAATATAAATGCTCCACTTTGAGGACAATCGATTGCTGGGGATGTTTACCAGGTATGAAGTAGGATTCCAGGAAGAATTCCACCCAACTCGAGGCTGCAGCCACGAGATAATGCGTCGAGTGATTCAGAACGAAGGAATCCGGCGAGAGAGTCTTTGGGTTGGACACTGCGATTCCCAGGTACTCCGTCCAGTGGAAAGTGCCCATGATGGCGGCGTACAGGCCGAAGGTGCGGATGTGCTCGGGGGCCAGGAAGAAGATGAACACCCCCATCGAGAAGACGTAGCCCAAGAAACACGCCCGGACAGCAATCTGCAAGTCAAACACCCGTGAAATTGAAGCGAATTCAGTCGCATCGCGCAATTCTCACTTGGTAGTCGCTGGATTCTGTGTAGTAGAAGCGGATGATGAAGTTGATGATGATGTAGAGCAGCAGCGGGCTCCAGAAGATCACCATCCAATTGTCCGGTGTGTATTCGAAGCGGAATTCCGGTATGGCGACGGCGAAAATCACAGCAACTGGCACCAAAAAGTTCACCAGACACACTCTGCCCTCGTGCACTAACATCTTCTGGCCGGATCACAGGTGATGAATCGGGAAATTCCAGGAAAATTGAGGTCCCATCAGGGCCGCAGCCCGAATTTGCTTCTCCAGAGGAAAATAATAACAATATCCCGGCTGAAAGTCAGTTGACACTTGCCACTGACGACTGTAGTCTCAAAGACTCTGTTGTCCTGAGCGGAAACAAGACGAGCGTTTGTCGGAAAATGTGATCAAATTATGAGGTAAATAGGGTAAATATGATTTATGCTCGTTTTCAGATGTCCAAGAAAATTGAAAACGAAGAATTAGTAATATTTGGGCTTATGTTTTGACCTTAATTCCTATATTTGTACCACTTTTGTGCTATGAAGAGTAGAAATAAATGTTGGATGCAGCAAGTCGGGAGAGTGAGAAACATCAATGAAATTCTCAACAGATGGCGGTACTCTCCTTGTTTTGATGAAATTCCATATATTTTTCGTCGGAAATATACGTTTTTCAGCACTCTTCCCAAGTCTTCAGACTGAAAATAGGTAAATTACGCGTTTCAATGTTTATCAGTGTGCTATAAGATTGTTCTAGTGAGCAAAATAGAGGAAAATTTCCACTGAAACCCCTCAATTGTAATTGGTGTTCTGCACGCTTGAAGTGCTTTGTGGCGTGATGTGCAGCTAACTTCGCTGCGTGGCTACATCTGTTATGTGTCAAAATAATATTTTAAGATGGTTGCTGCAATTATTTTTACATAATATTCGTGTGGTGTTTTCTCTCCCGAAAATCATGTTTGCCCGTGCTTAAACACTTGCCACGGCGTGGTGGAGGCAAAGTGTGTGGACATTGTGCTGGAATTGGCCGTGTGCGTGCGTGGGCGAGCGTGAAAACGGGCGTGAGTGGATTTGGGAAGGCGCACCTCGGGAACAGTGGGATCGTCTCCATTTGGACGACAAGTGCAAGAAGAGAGAGAGAGAGTGAGAGAGGACGAGTTGAAGAGAGAAAAGAGTATTGAATTGTAATTGTCGTGCCAAGGAAATTGTCTCAAAATTGATTGCGACACGGGCATCAGTGAGGGGCCACCGCGTAAGCGTAAACGCAAGTCGGCCATTGTAGAGGATCAGACAAGCAGCACCAAGGCGATCTTCGGGGACAGGCGAATCGAGGCTGCAGGCAGCGCTGCAACCATGCAACAGGACTTAGCTACGGGTGAGTGTCCGCCAGAGAGCGCCCTGCGTCGTGTCCACTTGTCCGGAACTGCCCTATCTTTGCCATCGCAATGCGCTTTCTGCCCTGAGGCACCTGCGGGGCTTTTGGGTGTCTGTGGGATTTGTCGATTCGGGTGCCAGGCCCATTTGCCCCGTGGCAAGGGCACACATTTATCGCCCTGCAGTTTCACTGTGGGGAAAACACCATAAATGACTGCAGAATGTGTGCTTTTCTCTGTCTCCTTTGTGTCTCACTCGCTCCAAGGCGACTTTCAAGTGCGCGAACAAAGTCCAGTGAATCGTGGCCAGAGAGGCTCTCACATCGCGCTGCGATTCAGTCTCTGGTCAGCTGTGGACGGAATCCCATCCAGAGGCTGCGAAGGCATCGTCTTTTGTGTGAGATTTCTCGTCTCTTTGTGTGTTTTTCCCTTCGCAAATACTCATCGTCGAAAAGCTCCCGTGAGAAACCCTTCAAAGTGGCCAGAGAGCGACAGAGAGAGGGAGAGTGGCGCGAGAGAGAGAGAGAATGAAAAGCAGTGTTACTTTTCTTCTGGCCATATAAAATTGAATGGCTGAGCAACGAAGACAATAAAATCATAGTGGAAATTGGAGAGTGAAGTATAAATGTTGAAAAGCGGAGTTTGAGGCAACGGAGAGCGACGGAGGGGAGGTGAATTGGGAGCAGAGGCGAGAGGAGAGCAAAAAATGTAAACAAAGACACTCAGCTGCTCAGTGAGAACGGATCGGAAGGCGAAAAAAGTGTCTCAATTTGAGATTAGCGAGTCAAAGTTGAAGTATAAATTTTGCTGAAGAGACGTGAAATCTCATTGGCTTTCTGTGCCACGCAAGAGTGTGAGAAATCGAGTGCAGAGAAGGGCTCTTCCCGTGGCGTAAAAGTTTCACCGCCACTCGCGCGTCTGGGGCTCTCGCGGGAGGACGAAGGGCGGCAGGATGGGAATGGCTGGGCAGACAATTGATCGGGACGAGGGGGAGCGAATGTCTTGTGCTCATGAAATCACAATGTCTCGGGGAGCTGGTGAGTCAATCACCCTGTGTTTTCTCTCATTTTCTCGCCTTGTTTTTCTCTCCTTTCCGTCTCGCCAATTCAACTTGACGTTTTCTTCCCTTGCGCGCTCTGTTTCTGTGGCCAGACCAGCCGAAATCCCACACTCGCCACAGCATCCAGAGTTTGCTCTCGTAAAGTCAATTAACAGTGTGTGTATGAAATCAATTGGAAATTCCCAGTGCTTCGGGACAATGGCCCACACATTCTCTTCCATTATATAAAATCTTGTGATGTTTGCCCACAAAGTTGACTTCTTTCTCTCTCGGTGGGCAGGAATCGTGATGGTTGGAGATTAGCGCACACAAGAGTTGTTTTCGTCGGGCCGCTTATCAGCTGGCTGATAAGTCAGCCTGTGTGCATGTTGCAGAGATCCGGAGAGAAGCTCACATATTTTTCTCAGATTTCCGCGATACGCGCAATGAATTTCACTCTGATCATGACTATTTTATTCTCCAGCGAGATAAGAAAATGCCAGTCAAATTCTGTGGCTATCTTTGTTAGGGAGAGTATTTTTGGCGTATTACGAGACTCGCTGCGATATTTATCGGTGTTTGAACTGCTTTTTTGCCTCTTATTTGAAAGGTTATTTGGAATGAAGTGACAATAATACATTTTTTCGTGTTTCCTTTATGACAAGTTGAAGTGTGGTCAACTAAATGTTTGAGCAAAAAGCTCAATGATCTTCTTATTAGACTTTAATGAGTTAAATCTTGAAATTACATTCAAATTGATGTGAAAAATTAAAGACTTTTCTTCTATTTGAAATCATTTGATGTGTTCTATATTTATTAAGTTCACTGCATAAAATTATAAATGGCTTTTATCAGATATATTTTCTTCTGGAAGTCATTGTCTTCCATTTATTTGCACTGTGTCTGTGGCGCTGAAGAGAAAATGCAACACAATGATCTTGTAATGTCATCTTCATCAAAAGACACATAAAGTGACGGGAATTCTTTTGTATAGACAAGGTTTCTTTGTATCGTTGAAGCACGTGCAATGCGAAAAGGGTCTTTTCTATTGTCCACTTCTTAAATTAAGATAGAGAAAGAGAGAGAGAGAGACTCTTTGAGGAGATAATTGAATGAATAAGAGTTATGGAAACACGTTCTTGAATTTGAGAAAATTGAGAAAGTTATTGAATTTGCATAAAATAAGTCTTGAGATCTGGATTGAGAAAGAAAGAGAGAAGAAAGTTCCTTTTGTATGCTGAGTTGCAGGAGGATTTGATTTAATTTTGTCTCGCATTGGCTGTGATGAAATTCCTTGAGAATTTAAGGAGTTCTGCTCACATTTCCATGCTCAAATTGTCCTGCAATTGCTTTCGCCTTGACCGCATATTCTCACATTCTCCGCTGCTCAGACGTTTTTCTTCTATTTTCCCCCGTCTTTTGGCTGGTTATAGAACAAAGAGAGAGAGAGAGAGAGCGAGAGAGAGTGTGTGACTCTCCTAATGACTGTGCAAACTCTTTCTGTGACTCACTGATGTTATCGTGTGTCTTTTTGTGTGTCTCACAGCGAACGGCTCGGCGGCTGGCTCCTCGCACAACAGCTCAGCAGACATGCAGCAGGATGTCCATGCGAATGGGAACGCGACGGAGGGCGAGGACAAGTGTGGCTATGCGAACGGTGGCCCGCGGACAATTCATCTGGATCAGACGGAGCGTGACATTGTGCGCCTCATTGGGCAGCACCTGAAGATTGTGGGCCTCGAGAGGAGTGCCGAGTTGCTGATGGAGGAGTCCGGGTGCTGCCTGGAGCATCCGTCGGCGATAAAGTTCCGCGCGCACGTGCTGTCTGGCGACTGGGTGAAGGCGGATCACGATCTGCAGGAGTTGCATCCGCTGATCGATGGGAAGCACAATAGTATTGGGGTGAGTTGCTGTTGTTGTGGGTTTGGTGCACAAGTCCAGATGATGTTTCAATGAAGTTCATTGTGCAGTTTTCTGTGTTCCAGGAGATGCGTTTTCTCCTGCTCGAGCAGAAATACCTGGAGTTTCTCGAGGAGGGCCGTCCGCTGGACGCTCTGCATGTGCTAAGGAACGAGCTGACGCCGCTGCAGCACAACACGCCGCGCGTCCATCAGCTCTCGTCGTATATGATGTGCGCCAACAACGAGGAGCTGTACCAGAGGGCGTCGTGGGAGGGCAAGGGTGTCAAGTCGCGCAACAAGCTGATGGACCGGCTGCAGAACTTCCTCCCACCGACCGTGATGTTGCCACCGCGGCGTCTGCGCTCGCTCCTCAGCCAGGCCGTGGAGATGCAAACTGAGCGGTGCACCTGCCACGACATGGCGTGGGAGACAAACATTGACAATGTGTCTCTGCTCGTGGATCACTGTTGCTCGCAAGAGGAGTTCCCGATGCAGCCGCTGCAGGTGCTGAATGAGCACTGCGACGAGGTGTGGTACTGCAAATTCTCGCCGGATGGCCTGAAATTGGCCACTGGCTCCAAGGACACGTCGGTGATCATATGGGATGTGGATCCCAAGGCGATGTGCGTGAAGCAACGCCGCACGCTTGATGGACACACGTACGGCGTGAGCTTCATCGCATGGCATCCAGACTCCAAGCATCTCATTGTCGGCGGTCCTGAAGACTGTCCCGACCTGTGGATCTGGAACATTGAAGAGGAAAAAGTGAGAAGAATGAGTGGCAATGTTGGGGATTTTCCTTTTTCTTATTCTCTTTCTTTGCAGCAAACGAAAATGTCTCACTCGCCGGAAGATAGTTTAACTTGCGCAGCCTTCAGTCAGGATGGATCACGCTTCGTGACTGGAGGCGTGCGTGGTCAATTCTATCTTTGTGACATCGATGGAACCATTCACGACACGTGGGATGGCGTTCGTGTCAATGGGCTGTATTTCAAGTCAGACAATAGGACAGTATTGGCAGCCGACACTCACCATCGCATCAGATCTTATGCATTCGATACTCCACGCGGCGATCAGACTATGTAAGTCTTTTATCGCTGTTTTAATTGGTTTGACCAAAGGGACTCAATGCATTCCGTTTGTTGAAGAATTGACCCAAGATTCGGTCTAAAACTTTCTTTTATTGAATTGTTGCAGTGTTCAGGAGCAACATGCAATTATGACGTTCTCCGTCAACGCCTCAGAGCGTCTAGCGCTGCTGAACATCTCACAGCAAGGACTGCATTTGTGGGATTTACAGGATCGCTGCTTGGTGCGGAGATTCCAGGGCGTGACGCAGGGCAATTACACGATTTACTCCACCTTTGGCGGTATTCACGAGAGTTTTGTCGCGAGTGGAAGTGAGGACAATAAAGTGAGTGACATTTGCAGTTGATGTGTAGATAAGAGAATGTCTCAATGAGAGTCTTTTGTGCGCATTTCAGGTGTACATTTGGCATATAAAGCGTGAGGAACCGCTGGCCAGACTCGTTGGACACACGAGAACGGTCAACTGTGTCTCCTGGAATCCCGTCTATCCGGCCCTCCTCGCCTCGGCGTCCGACGACGGCACTGTGAGACTCTGGGGACCCAAAACTGTTCCTCAGCACGCGACAAATTCAGGTAATTGCTCAATGTGTCCTCTTGATGTATGATTTCTATCTTGCACTCCCTGATTTCCCAAAATAATTGTTACAAGCATTTTGCACTTCACTGCAATTTCCAATCCTTTTGTTTTAACTTTTGGCTTATGATTTTCCAAATGAAATTTTACTAACAAGAATGACAAAGAGAAAATCAATCAATCTGCATTCGGCAGAGAGTGATGATTGCTCCTCAACGTCATCTTCATCTTCCTGTATGACAACGTAAAAGTTGCGTGCGCTCTTGATGTTCGAGAGATGTTTTGTTCTCTTCTTAGGATTGTTTGTCAATTGCATTCTGAAACAAAAAAAGGAAAATAAAATTGTAAATTAAAGAGATAATTAGAGGTAAAATAGTATGAAAAATGAAAATACAAATGTTATAGTGAGAAAATGTAAGGGAAATAATGGTAAATTTTCTTCGAAAATGTGTATAAAAGCTGAATATATAGAAATTTCCTTTCTCTATTATGAGAATAACAAGTAAAAAAAAAATACAGAGAATAGAGTTTATCGTGTTGACAAAATTTAAGAGAATGCTAAAGAATGAGAGAAAGAATGAAAAAGTGAGAAATGTGACGAATTTTTTTTCTAATGTCTCTTTTTTAAGATAAGAATTATGTTTTTCTGTGCCGCCCAAGTTGTTCCTGAGCGCATTAAGAAAGGCGATGAGACACAATTTTCGTGAAATTGTGAGCCTTTTAGTGCGCGCGCTGGGGAAAAAAACACACTCACCTGAAGAGATGTTTCACAATGTTAATTTATATTTATTTTTAGTAACGAGGATTTTTGTTGTATTAATTTCACGCTGTAATTAACTAAAGTGCGCTCCAATGTGTAATTTTTTTTGTGTGTTTTCTCACTGAAAGGGAGACTTTTTTTGCGATGAGCAGAAGAGCTTTTTGTAAAATTACAATAATATAGAGAATAAGGAGAGAGAGGAAGAGATAAACATTTTTCATCTCGTGTTTTTCTTTTAATTTCAGTAGATTGAGACCATCCACAACCATTCATCATCCACATTCATCCATAAAAAGAAAGAATAAAACTGTGTAAATTCATTAGATATGGACAATGATAATAAGAATCATTAACTAATCGAGGAAGTGTCTGTAAATTTAACTATAATTTCGGAAACTTACATTAAATTGAAACTTGCAATAGAAAAGAACGAAGAAAACTGCTGCAGATGAAGAGAGAGAGAGAGATGGAAATAGATAAGGACAAGCCCTTTTGTGGTAAACTAATGAAATAGAAATGAAGAATATGTTGTTGAAAGGTAATATTTATTAAGAAACAGAGATTAGGAATAGTGACAAGTTTTGCATTTTGAAAGGAATGAAGAATAAGAGAATATTTTATTGTTGCCTTGAAGAATATCTTGTTGAATGAAAAATTGCATTGGAGCCCACTTTTGATTTGATCTTTGTCCCCCTTTTTGCGTCTCAGTAAAGCAAGTGTCTAAATGTGAAAGGATCTTTCTTTTTTTTTTACTATGATTTAAATAAAGAGGAGGAAAAACCTAAATACTTTAAGTGTCGTGTGTTATTTATATAAAGTAAATAATATTATAATAATTGAAGTGAGGAGAGAGAGAGTAACATATTTTAGAATCGAAGTGAATAAAAGTACATTTTCATGTGAATTTTAATTTGTTTCAACTTCTTTTTTATACCTTGTGAAAAGAGTAAAATGCAGTTAAAATATTATTATCAAGAGACTGAAACACGACAAAATTAATCAATTTATAAAAGATAACATGAAGAAAAAAAATGGCGTGAAGAACCAAAATGGAAGGAAAACTGTTGTTGTTCAGAAAAGAGTTTCAGGTGTAAATTTATGATGAATAAACGATATCCTCTTAATCAAAAAGCAAAAAAAGTAATAGAATTTTTTATACCGTGAAAACAAGAAACAAGACCAGAAAACAGAAACATAAGTTCGATAGAAGTTGCGCAATAATAGACGAAGAAATAGGAAATTAGAAGTGGACAAAAAGATGCTTTTTCTCGAAATCTTTAGTCACAAATGTAGGCTCTTAATTTTAAGAGAAGAGAAGAGAAGAATGCTGAAAGACAAAAAGCACACAATAATTAATGTTCTAAGAGGATTTCTTCATATATTCTGAGGATAAGAGGAATTTTGTGAATTTTCAGATTAATAATCTCAAATTCTGAATATCTTATCATGGAATGCAAATATGAGTTTTATAGGGAAAGGCTTAATTTAGACTGTTGCCATTATTTTATTCCCAAGAATATTCTAAATACATTTTTCATAGTCATTTATAAAGAATAATTTGCCGAAATTATGCAAAGGATTCACAAAAATTTTACGAGAAAAGTGAAAACGTCAATTCAAATCATAGATTTATTGATTGTCAGTCAGATTGTCTCGCCTTATAATGCTTTTATTTGCATACTTTGATGCTTATTATCTTCGACAACGAACATAGAAATTTAAATTTGGAATTGTGCGGTTTCTTACCTTTCCATTTACACCTCAGAAATGAAGGAATTCTTTACGAAAAATACCTGAAAACTACATTTTCATGATGTTTTTGGTTCTCTAATTCTCTATGGAAGAATTCTAAATGTGAAAAGACACAAAAAAATGTGACTACAAAAGAACCTCTTTAAATGCGATGGAAGAAGTAAAACTAAGGAGATTTTAAGGGAATATTCTTTCGATTAATATCGCTAACATTGTTCATGTGTTATTTAGTAACAAAAATGATAAAACGAACCTGATGAGAAAATGCACATTTTCTCCACAATCTTTTGCTTTGTGCTGCTGTGAAGAGAAGTTGCGTGATGAGAGGGAAATTCTTCACTGGCTTTTTTTGCCATTTCTCAACACTTTCGTGCAATATTTATAATTCTCACCTTGATAAACAACTTTTTGCCAGTTTGACTTATACAGTAAAATATTCGCATCGGGACTTTGAAGGTTTTCTCGGGAAATCCAGTGAAGAATTTCCATCTGAAGAGTGATTTTGATGAATCGACATTGTGAGAATGTGAGATTATTTGGCAGAGAAAAAACTACTCTATATTGATTTTACCACAATGATGAGAAAGAGAATTTTATATCAAACAGAAGAGTCGTTTTTAGTGCGGGGATTTACGAGTGATTAGATTTGGTAGACGAGCGAGAGAGAGAGAGAGTAAGAAAACACGGTGAATAATCGACATAATTTATTGCTAAACTATAAATTTGATGACAAAAATGATACACAAGTATGAAAAAAAAAACACTTTATTGAAAGCTCTATATATAAAAGTAAGTGAAGAAGGATGAAGGAAAGCTATTTAAGAAGATGGAAATGATAAAACAGATGATAAACGACCTCGTGAATTAATTACACATTAAGTAGATTAATTTAATTGATAAGAGATAAATACAAATTATACATAATTATTAATTCTTAATTAATAAAGAGACAGAGAACATTTTCATTGGAGTGCGCAATTCAGAGGGTCTCCAGGCTGAATTTCGTCCCTCGCTGGCTCTGCTGCTGCTGGGCAGCCTTGTGGTCGTTCTTGAAGCTCCCCGAACACTGCGAATCACTCACGGAGCGTCCGTCGCCCTCATCGCGGCGCGAGAGCTCGCTGAAGGGACTCCCGGCGCGCTTGTCTTTGATGCCCGCCGTCGAGACGTCGTGCGTCACCGCCTGGATGTTGGCTTTGATCTTCTGGCGCTCCAGGATGTCCGCCGTGGTGAGATCGGACGCCTTCACGAGGCTCGTATTGACGGCGCTCAGCCAGGGCTTCAGCGAAGACTTCTTCGGCACTGATGTCGGCGTCTTGGGCGTCACTGGCGAGGAATCCGAGCAGGTGCACATGAGTTCAGCCGGCGCATTGCACACTGGACAGACACTGCCCACTCCGGTCACTGCTCCTGAAGATGGGCCCGGAATTGTGGCCACATTGGCGGCCGCGCTCAAGTCAATCTCACTCACAGCGTCCACAAGAGTGGAAGTCTTCGAGGATGACGATGACGCCTTGCCAGGCTCAGCCTCGTCCAGACTGTAACTCTTGCTCAGCAGGAGTTTCGAGAGCGGCGGCGCGAGTCCCAATCCCAGATTCCTCTCGTGATAAACCTCACTGATGGTCGGTGTCATTTCACGGTTGATATGCCTCAGTAGAGACTCTTGCATGCTCTTTGGCGGCTGGTAAGCACTCTTCTTGGCCTCCTTCACTGCACTCCCGCCCGCTCCGCTCACACCCTTCTCATCCGTCTCAGCGGCAAAGTACAGACTCGCGTTGTGAAGCGACAGAGCTGCTTCGTCTGACAAATTCATCTTCCTGCTCGTGGAAGCTGTGGCTGCTGACGTGCCAGCAATTCCCACAGCACTCGAAGTGCCCGCCGGCTGGCCAGGAGACACTTCTGTGCGCACACTGAGTCTGTCCATGAATCCAATTGTTTCGGAAATCTTCCGCGACAGTGGCATCTTCAGCTTTCCGCGTGATCGCGCGCCAAATGGCCCAGCCGCCAGCTCAAAAGCGCCTCTCTCGAACTCAGAATCGGAGCTGGTGGAGTCCAGCGCTCCTGCTCCCGCCTCAAGTGTGGCCACGGGGTTCAGATTGTTGTACACAGGCGCCAGCGGCGCCAAATCGACTAGAGGCAGTTGCTGCCGAGGCGGCGGCAGCGGCGGGAGTGTCTGATTCTGCTGATTCACCCTCCGGAGCACCGTGGCGTGTCCTGAACCCTCCCAATCCGTCGTGCTGCTCGCACTGCTCGAACTATCAGGCCGTCCTGCCATTAAGATGCCCCCGTCGGCGCCCACAGGACCCGAGTAGAGACTCCTGATCCTCGTCTGATGCGCCAGTGCCTGGGAAACATTACTCTCCGCCGTGGTGCTGGAGTCGGAGGTGTGATGCAGGGCAGAATAGCCGCCGAAGAGCTTCTTGGGCAGCGTCTGCACCACATAGCCGTCAGATGACAACTCACTGTCTGTTGTGTTGGCCAGACTGGAGTCCAGAGTGCTCGCCGAGTGGATTTGCGAGGAGGAGGAAACTGATGGCACGTCTGAGGAATCCGTTCGTCCGCCGTCAGGCTCTCCACGGCGTCTCACGTACGAGATGAAGGCGCTACCGGTGCTCAGGAAAGGCACTCGTCGGATTGGCAATGGTGGCCGAGAGAGAGTCAAGTGTGGCTTGGCTGGAAAGGGAAGTCTTGATGACTTTGACGATCTCTGGGAATGAATTTTCAGGGACTCACCAAGGGTTCCAATAGGCGAAGCTCCTCTCTTAGGCGCTGGCGCATTATCTGGACTCACAGAGGATTCATCAGCCGCTTCAGAGCGTCCATCCTCGTTCAGGGACTCTGTGCTGGACTCCAGTCCGAGACTCTTGGGAGCTTCTTGAGTATCTGCAACAGAGACAAGACGGGAATTAATAAAGTCACTGGGAAATGAGGTGAATAAACTCACCGAAGAGAGCAAGAAGCGCTTGTAAAACGAACTGGCAATTGCGTCTGTTGGCTGTTTTCCCCGTGCGCAGAGTCACCTGATCCTGGCCCACTTCCATCAGATCGAATCCCAACGACGCCAGCAACTCATGGCAGCCAGACACTCTCCACAGGCGAACACTGAGTGGGATGTCCACTTGAGTCTCCAGTTCTCCGCTGCCTTTGGACGGAAATTGGCTCACGACGTTCCTCAGCACGGCAATGATGTCATCGGCGATCTCTGAGCTGTTCACCACTTTGGACAGAGCGTGAAGAGTTGTCGGCGAGAGCGCCAAGAGTGCCTGCAAGCTCGCGGAACACTGCGACAGACGATCCTCTGGGTCAGACTGAGGGAAGAAGACGCTGGATGGAATGCCATTGGCAGAGGGCTCGAAGCGGAAGCCCACGGCCATCAAGAGATCCTTCCAGCCAGACACGGGTCCAGCTTTGTTGTCGATGCTCTTCTGGGTGGTGTACATGGCGTTCTTCTGGCCACGGTGAATTCTCTGGAGACTCTTCTCGACCAGATGAAGACACACCCTCAGGGCATCTCGGCACTTGTCCGGCGCTTTGACCAATTCACAAAGAGCCTGGCCAATTAGAGCCACCTTGTTGGAGAGTCTCACATTGGCGCCAATCAGAAGGAAGCCCGCCCAATTGGCGGGATGAGCGAAGTGCTTGGTGTTCTGCACAGTCGAAATGGCTTCGGCCAGAGCACTGGCCGCAGAAGCTCCCTGGAGCAGAGCTGAATAGAATGCTCTCAAGAGAATCTTCGCTGCAGTCTCTGGAACTGGCCACAGAGACACCAGAACCGCTCCAGCGCCCGCCAAGAGCCAAGCACTGGCCAAATTGGCCACTCCTGATCCGCTTATTGGCTCAATTGAGTGATAAGAGCTGAGAACAACCAGTTTCGCCTTCAGCTTCATCGTCAGCAAGTCCGCTGCGCTGAGAATGAAGTCAGACAGCGGAGGAATCTCCATGTTGGACGTCGAGAGATCGCTGATCTCCTCGTCATTCTCCATCTCAGGTGCCGTGGCGGGGAAGAATCTCTTTTGAGAGTCTATAACATCGCCAGGACTGAGGACGACGGCTCCCAATTTCCAGCTCACGTTGGCTGCGAAGTGGACACACTCTGCACTGGGCAGTTCAGCCACGACAGCCTCCTTTGTGGCACTCGAGGCGCAGAGAGCCTTTGCGTGCAGCATATCTGCCACCATGGCCGCTTCCTGGAGAGATGCTGGCGATTCCGACCAGCCCCAGGTCTCTGACAAGGATGTGGGTATCCTTGGACCGCCCACAACCAGAGCACTGTTGAGATTCTCAGCCACTTCGCGATTCCGGGAGCGACTCTTCTGGCGCAATGTGGTCAGAGATGGCACGGTGATGAGAGAACAGCGCTCTGAGAGATACTCTCCATCCTCCTGTCCACTGCGGAGCACAGCGAATGGCACCAGATACAATTCGTTCTCCAGAACAAGCACAAGATCACGTCTTCCCACTCTGGCAGCTGAAAAGAGAGAAGTGTCGATCAGAGAATCTACTCAAGGGTGCATGAGAAAGATCTTACTTGTGGCACTGTCGGGAAGAAGGTCCTCAAAGGGTGCCAGGAGGAGTTTGTACAGGGAATGAAGGCACGCTGGACCCTGCCATGTGGGCATCATGGGCACTCTCCGCGACAGACTTCCAATGGATCGCGTGGATCCTTGCAGACTAGCCACAGATCCTCCAACACTGCCCAGACTGAACAGAGAACTCAGCGAGTAATTGCTGGAGTTCAGCAAATGATTCCTGTTCACCATCCTCAGGAAGCCCGCCCTTTCGCTAGCAAAGTCATCCAGCAGATTCTCAGACGATCGCCATCCATCTCCCTCCTGACTCGCGCTGTTCACGCCCAAACTCTCCCTCACCATGTAGATGTACTGCTCCAGGAGCGTCGCCGAGTCCTTCCCGGGCTTCTGCTGAGTTCCACTGAACTGCAGAGTGGTCTCGTTGATTTTGGCACTGTTGAACCGCACAATCCTCTTCTGAGGCTGCAGGAACCACGTGTAGAGCTCATCTCCGGCTAAGCTGAAGTAGATCACGCTGCATTTACTCCTGTTCACCGTGTCAAAGATGTTTTCACTGCACGTCATGTTCGCATTCTTCTTCCCCGGAAAGGCTGGCGTGGTGGAATCTGGCGTAGTTCTCGCTCTGCATCTCTCAGCCGCCACCAAAGCTTCTTCACTTCTGCCCAAAGTCACCAGGATCTGCTGGAGTGTGTGATAACAGCTTGTTTGTAGGTCAAATAAGAGATTTCGTGCCTCTGGCGATCTCTGCTCTGATCGAACAGTCTCCAAGATCTGCGCTGCACTCTCCAATTGACTGCGGGCGTTCTCATTGTCTCCGGATGCGCGCAGAGCAATGCCTAGTTGATGCCTGATCTTCGCCTCTTCCTCGGGTTTGCTCAAGCTTTGAGCAATGGCGAGTCCCTGGCGCAGAAAATTGATGGCCTGAGAAGTCTGATTCATGGAGTGAAGCACTCTGCCCAGAGACATGCACACCGACGCCTTCACGAGGCGATCTGACGCCAGTGAGAGCTGCTTCTCGAGATGTCTCACAGCTTCTGAGTATTTTCCCATGCTTTCATAGACGCTGGCAAGATTTCCGTACGCTCTCGCCTGGAGAGTCATCACTTGAAGTGCTTCGCAGATCTCCAGATCCATCTTGTGGAGTCTCAGCGCACTCTCATGGTCGCCCATCTGGAAGAAGACACCACCAAGACCACTTGTGGCGTCCGAAAGAGCCACTCGATCACCCAATTCCTGGGCAATGTCACGCTGATGCTCCAGACAATTGAGAGCCTGTTCGTGATTCCCGAGGGCACTATGAATATTGCCCAAGTCCAGATAGGCAGCGCCTTTGGCTTCCAGACTTCCCAGCTCATGAGCCACAACCAATCTCTTCTCCAGACATACCAGAGCTTCCTGGAGATTTCCCAGGGCTCTGTGCGAATGTCCGAGACCGCGATAAGCCAAATCCTGATCCCTGAAACTCTGCATCGCGATGGCCAGTTGAAGATGACGCTCGTGACACTTGATGGCATTATCATAATCGCCCAGGGCATCGTAACAATCGCCCAGATGACCGAGAGCACGTGTCCTATCGTGCTGCGCTTGGGCAGTGTTGATCCTGTCCAGAGAAGCCAACTGCTGCTCCAAATAGCTTATGGAATCCTCATAATGTGTCATATTGAGACGCGCAATTCCAAGGTTTCCAAACGCTTGCGCCTCTATCACGGGATCCTGGAGCTCTTGAGCCCTCTCCAATTGCTCCTGATAACACTTCACGGCGTGCGTATAATTTCCCAACGCCATGTGAACTGCTCCTAAGTGGCAATGCGCTCGCGCTTCGCCCGGAACGTCTCCCATCTCTTGGCGCAGCGTCAATTCCTGAGTGTGATATCCGAGAGCCTTGTCGAAGCGCTTCAGCAGACGATTGCACAATCCTAAAGCTCCACACGCTGCAGCCTCCATGGAACGCTCTCGCGCCTGGCGAGCCAATCCCAATTGTCTCTGATACATTTTTCCCGCCTCCTCGAGATCCCCCATTCGGATCAGGACATCACCAATGTTTCCCAGAGCGCGGAATTTCCCCGGAAGGTGATTCATCATGTGCGATATGGCTAGAAAGTACTTTTGACATTCCAGAGCTGCTGCCTTCCAGTCCAGCGCCAGATTGGCCAGGCCCAGATTGCAGTAAGCTCTCCCCATGTTCATCTTGTCCTGCATATCCTTCGCCAGAGCGAGATCCTGATCGTAGTAGCGAACAGCTTCCCTGTAATTACCTATGCAGTAGTGCGCATAGCCGAGAAAGTGGCAAGCCTTTCCCTCAGCCGCCACATCGCCAAGTTCCTGGGACAGCATCAGGTAATGCTCGTAGTAGGGAATTGCTTGGGCGAACTCTTGGCGTAAACTCCAGAAGTTCCCGAGATTCAGGTAGGCCTGGCTCAGGCTAGCAGTGTCCTTCTGCTCAGACGCAATATCCAGATGCGCTCGGTAGTGCATCAGAGCCATATCGTGCGATCCCAGGGCTTGATAAGCCACCGCCAGATTCCCATGCGTGCATCCTTCAGCACTCCTGTCGTGCACCTCCTTGCTGATCGTCAACTCCTGCTTGTGGCACTTTATCGCCGCCTCATAGAGACCGGCACTGAAGTAGGCATTTCCCAGATTGCCGAAAGCTCTGCCCATGCTGGCGCGATCTTGCAATTGTCTGGCAATCGCCAAGTGCGCCTGATGCAGCTTCAGCGCTGCATCATGTCTCCGCGTCAGTTGATACACAATCCCCAAGTTGGACAGAGCTCTGCCCTCGGCAAACTTATCTCTCGCCGCCAGAGCCATTTCCAGTTGCTTCTCATGCCATCGTTTCGCCTGGCTGTACATCCCGGCGCAGCGACAAGCGTGTCCCAGGCCGGCATACGCCCTCGCCTCAATTGCACGATCTCCCAACTGCTGGGCAATCCGCAGCACCTGCTCATGGAACTGAATGGCCTGCGTGAAGCTCCTCCGGTAGTGGTGACTGTTGCCCAGATTGCTGTACGCTCGCGCCACTTCGATCTGATTGTTCAGCTTCCTGGCCAATCTCAAGTGCTGCATGTGACAATCCACGGCGGAGTCAAACTCACCCATGGCCAGGTACACGGTGCCGACATTCCCAATCTCTCGCGCCTCCTGCAGGCGATCGCCCATCTGCTTCACCAACTGCACGCACTGCTTGTGACTCGCCAGGGCATTAGGATAGTCCCCAATGGCTGTGTAAACGTGCCCCAGAGACGTCAGGGCAGCTGCAGCCGCCTGAGTGTCCTTGCACTTCATGGCCAACACGAGTTGATACCTGTGCGCAGTCAGGGCTTCCTTGTAGGATCCCTGGCTGAACTTTCCACTCCCCAGGTTCCCATACACTCTGCACTCTCCCTGAGTATCTCCCAAACTCTTCGCCACTGCCAGATCCTGCTGCATATAGCTGATGGCCTTGTCCAGCTGATTCAGCGCCCAGTGCGCTGAACTTAGGGCGCTAAATACCGATCCTCTCAGCTTCAACGAGCAGGAGCCAATCTGCAGCGCCGCCTCGAGAACAGTCACTGCCGAGTGATATTGGCCGGCCTGCAGAAGCTCCTGACCCACCACAGAGATCACCACGAAGGGCGACTGATCCAGCTTCATGGCACACAACTGCTGGAAGGTCGGTTCCAGGGCGTTTCTGAGCGGAGATTTAATGCTCGCTTCCACTAGACCGGCCAGGAGTTGCTTGTTGGAGGGATCCTGCGCCAGGCCAGAGCTGAAAGCCGCCAAGGCCTCGCCATAGCGTCCCAGACACTGCAGAGCCACTCCTTGGCGAAAGTATGCCTTCGGCCACTGAGGGCAGAGCTCCCTCGCCTTTGTGGCATCCTGAAGAGAAAAAGATGCATAAAGTTAGAGATTCATCAGTGGAACATGGATTATGGGCAATTTAATTTAAGACATCTTCCTTTGTTCTCTGCTTATTGCATGCGGGAGCGCTGCAGTAATGACCCTAAACAAATATTAACTTGTGGTTTTGTCTTGATGATTCTGTGGAAGAGATATTGCCAATTCCCAGAATCATACTTTATGTGTGGTGGCTTCAGAGTAATGTCTTGGCAGTAATTCTCTGTATTACTTCCTCCTGCACGCCTCTTCTATTGATTTAGTACACCCGGAAAGACACACATTTCACACGTCCAGCGGACTAAAAACAGTGCAATACCTGAAATGCCAGCTGAAACTGTCCCTGCTTGAGCCTGGCAGCTGATCTATTGCTGTAGAGAATGTGATTTGTGGGATCGAGTGCCAGGGCATCGGTGTAGAGTGCGACGGCCGTTGTAAAATCACCACTCTGGCACGCAGCATTTGATTGTCTCACCTGGAAAATGAACATCATTAAGCCTTCCAGTCCCACAACACAGCACTGGACAGAGCCATGGAGCCCTCATACCTTCTCGAGGAAGAGCGTTCTGTTGGCGGCCGGCAAATCTGGCGTTCCTTCTGGTTCATTCTGCAAAAATAGCGGAGAGAAGAAGAAAGGAATGAGAGAGAGAGCGTGGTATTATCATCCCATTCAATTATTGCATCTTTCCTCCCTCCCAATTTATCAGAAATTGATCGTGATGCCGAACTGTACAGAGAGAGAAAAGATCTGGCGCGCGGCATAAGTAGAGGGAAATTATGTGGGGTACTTTGCCAAGTATCACAAGCGCACTAGTGGAGAGAGAGAACATATTGGATTCTTTTGCTTTCGTTGTACTTCAATCAACATTCCACACAAATAGCATGCCTCTTGATCATCCACAGATTTATCACATCTTTCTCTCTCGCTCTCTTCGCGCACTTTGTGTGTGTTTGTATTTGTGTTTGTGTCGCAACCCCAAAATCTGCGCCATCAACTTTTGCTTTTTCCTCACCCGGAAGAATAATTATCAAGTGCTGAAAATTTCAATCTTGTCATTCCCACAGTTTTAACCTTTTTGCGCTCTTTTCCCAACCCAAAGACACAAGAGATGTGTGTAATTTTTCCCTGCTCTTGCTCGCCTTTTTTCGGCCTCACTCCACCAGTTGGCATGCAATCTCGAGGGACTCCGACCGGCGAGTGGTATCATGATTTCAGAGTGTAATTTACGAAAATTATTGCTTCCCTCTCACTCTCTCACGCAACTCCCCGGCCAGAAATTGCTCCATCGTGCTCACAGAGCCTCTATATTGGTGATTACCGGAGAGGGAGAAGCCAGGCATCTGGAAAAATGATCAGACACACTGCATGACGGAGAAAAAAGAAGTTTATGCAATACAAATCGAAAGAATTGAGCGGATCGTGAACGAAAAATCACCTTGTCCGGTTCTCGATGGAATTCAGATTAGAGAAAGATGCTGAAGACTGGCATGGAATCTCTATCTCTCTTCTCACTCCTCGAGAAGACTCCATTTGGACTTGTGTGTGCGCACTGCACATTTTCCGTAAAGCAACGGATCTGGTAAAGGTGAAATTAATTCAATTTCACCATATAAGAGAAAATTGCAGGGAGAGAGAGAGAAGGAGCGCGCGGCAACATGATCGCGAGAATGGTACTCGGCATAGAGATTATATGGCATTTTGAAGAGGAGCGAGGGAAAAAGCATTAAATATAATTATGTGTTGGATTGTAATCGCATAGAAGCAATTAATCAAACTGATTAATGAGGGAGACACTAACAATTATTTGCGGGTGAAAAATTCCAATCGAATCACTTTTGTTCACCTTCTTCACGTAGCACAAAAGTGCCAGAGAAAAACACACTGTAGCACACCTTTTTCCCCCAAGATATAACACACACTCTTTATATTAACAACATGATACTTTACCACGCCGAGATTTATCCCAATGACTTGGGAAATTCTTCTTAGAACCGAATATTTTCATTCTGTTCACGCGCTGTCTCAGGTTTTTGGCACTCTCCCGACCTTCTCACCTCTATTCTTGTCTGTTGGGATTGTCGAAATATTTACTGTTTACAAATTGTTGTTCTCTTCATCGAGATTCACGGCAGTGAAGTAGCAAAAATAGCAACGCAACGCAAGGGGGCAACAAAATGTTAAAGTTTTGCCACTATTTCCACCAGAAAAGAAGTCTGATAGAACAAGAATTGCCATTTGAAGCTGATTTTGGCCGAATTAAGTTAACAATGGCAGTTTAGATAGAAAGCAAAGTTGTTTTGACCACATTTAAGCTGAATTGTCACAGTGCAAATATCTTCGTCACGGTTCTGCACATAAATTTATTCCCAGAAATCGAAACTTAGATATTAGGCAAATAAATATTAATTGGGGAGAAATATAATCTTTCTATTCAAATTTTACCGTTTCGCCAATTCCTTATGTAGGTGAGTTTTATTAATATTATTTTTCAAAATTAGATAGATAAGCCAAGACTGATTTGTGAATTATTGCACGTGGAGATTAATTAAGATTCTCCCATTTGATGATATATCGATTGATGTGATTTAGATTAGAGGGAACAGTAAATCACTTTTTTGCCACATTTACTTACATAAGAACACACATAATCTGCCCGGCAGAGAATTTATAGAGGAAATCTCAAGATGAGTTAATCGATGTGAAGACTGTTAATACCCCTCTTTAAAAGAGAATTGAGAAACACTTTGAAGTGCTGATGAATACTGAGCGGCAGAGAGAGAGAGAGAGAGCAAAAAGGCACAAACCACCAAATGAAAGACTCATTTAAATGATTTATTTCCACGATAAGAAGATGCATGAGGGAGCTTTCCTCGTGAATTCTATATGCAATTTTCATCGTCAATATTACCATCAATTACATTTGCCTTGTATTATGCGCAAGTGTGGCGCAAAAATTACCCTCTCTGCAGAGCAAGTGAAATTCCACGGCCAATTTCCAGGCGCAGCGCGGGGAATTTTTCACAAGAACGTCTCTCGGACTGCACGCATACATATGTTGGGTATGCATCGTGTGCATTTTCTCGAAAGGGAGTGAAAACTGCAAATAGCGCCGAGAGAGGAGAGCGCATGCAAGAGGCGAATGGGATGGGAAATACAATCTTTAATTATGCTGGAGAGCATAGTAGGAGGGCGTCAAGCACAGATTCAGTAGCGAAAGAAATCAATGGTATGCCTCTTGATATATTCCCAGATGGTGAACGGTTTTTGTTGGTCTCTCTCTTCCCCCTTTTATTTCTTCCCATCTCTCATCCCAACTATCGTCTTTTTTGCCATCATCATCTCTTTTTTGTCCATACACATTTCTCTCACTCGTGAGTTTTATCGTCGTGGTCTTTGGTCTAATGATTGGTGTGCTGTGTATAGAAGATTTGCCTGCGCGCTTGCCAGTCGTGTTCTTTGCCACGGAATTCCTGAGAAATCAAAAATTCCTCCTTCTGCCTCCACTATCTCCATTCCCAGCCACTTCCTTCTCTTCCTCCGCCCTCCCGACGACCATTTCTTCATTTAATTACATTTGAGAGCCCTTCGATAATTTGCATTTTATCTCCCATGTGTCTTTCCTTCAACTATTGTCTCTCTGTCTCCTCGTCTCCTCGTCTTCTCTAAACCGGCGAAATCACAGCCATTTGTGAGGAAATCTCCTCACATTGGAATGTCCTTGAGTGGAACTCATTAAAATCCCTCACCTCAGTGGATTTCTTTGCCTTCACATGCCCACAAATTCCTCTCCCAAGACGACGCTTTTTTCCTCTTCATCCTCCCGCCTTTTGCTTGCACTCTGACTCAGAGCCACACAAATGCTTGACTCCCAATAACATGTGCAATTTGTTGATATCCACCGATAATGTGGCCAGTGAATAAACTTTTGCATATAAACTGACTGTTAATTGCTTTACAATTGACCATCTCATCCGACTCTCTCATCCCGCTGACTTTTCACATCCCATCGCAGCCTCTATTGGGAGCTAAATTACCGCGCGATTGATGGTGATGATTTCTTCCCGCAAAAATTCACTGGACATTGCACTTTGCACGTTAATGCTCGCAATTTCATCGCCGCCACGCGGAAGACTGTCCAAAAGAACGTCGTCGAAAATTAAAGGCCATAATGTGGGGAAATTCTAATTTTAGTGGACAAGGTAATGCGCTCTCATCTCCACACATCGTGCATCTTTTGCTCGCTGGATGAGTGAAAGAGCAAAAAGCGCGCTCGCATATTGAGAATCACTGGAGAAATTGCAAATTGACGTTAATTTCGTGAACTTCCTGGCCAATATGCGAATCATTTTTTTCCCCTTCGTCTCGCAACATCTTTTTGCGCATCGCATCTTGTTGATGATACTGTGAAGAACCGTGAAATTTTATTGTTTCTCCTCCATTGCAAAAATTTAACACTCCATGAAATAATTATCCCTGGCTAATTGGCAACCCTTGTTCGTGGGCATCAATGATAATTGTCCAATGCTCACGCGCGACAGAGTGAAGAATGTAAAACATTTCCATCACAATTAGAAAATGATCACATGAGCGTCTCATCCAATATCAATATCAATTAATTGAATATTTTATAGGAAATTCACCATCAACGATTCAGGTATTTGAAGTGATCATTATAATGACTCTCACTTCAATTTCACTCCTTATCTAATTCTTTCCTATTCGACAAGCGCGCGAGGGGAAAAATTACTGGATAATTTTCCCGCCCATGAGACACGATGGAAGTCATCTCCGATAGACATTCCATCGCCGCTGAGATTTTTCTTCGTCCTCTCACTTTAATTCTTTCACATTCTCACACACAATCTCTCTGCACCTCTCAAATGAACCCAACGTGTGTGTAATTCGAAATTTATTGAGACAATATTCTAATATTCATGAATATTCTATTCTCATTAACATCCACTAATCGTGCCTCTGCTCTTTTTTCCACCATCTCGCGCCCAACAACCTCTCGCGACCATCCTCATATTCTTCTGTTTTTGGCCTCCTCTCGTCACACGCAGTGGCGTAGCGCGTGCACTGGATTTAGCATCAATTCATAGACTTAAGACAATCCTAAACAAGTCATTTTGCTGGGGAATAATTGGGAATTTGTGACTGAAACTCGCTGTGAACGTTGAAGAACACTTCAGAATCTTCAATTGCAGCTCAAGATTGATAATGAGACAATTTGAGGGACAAATATGGGAAGAGATGCATATCAATGTAATGCGAAAGTGTAAAATTATGCTTTATGATCTTGACTTTAATCTGAGAACACCAGAAAACACGCTAATCCGACGACAGATGCACGAGGATGGAATGTGGGTGCATTTCAATTACGCCACTGCTCACTTCACCTACTCTTTCTGGCTGCCATCATGCCAGGGGAATTTGTTGAGTAGCGTATAAAATTGCTCATAAGAGATTTGTCTCCTCCTCACATATCACCACAATTAAATTCATATATAATTGAATTAATTCCATATTAATATTCCAGGGATTGAGTTTCACATGACGCTATGGAGGCAACAAATTGCCATGATTCTCTCTCATTTAGCCTTATATGTTCACCTCTCATCATGCCTTCCCTCCACAACTCGTGATCGATGAACTACAACTCTCTCGTCCTCCCGAGAAGCTCAAGAGATCGATGCAGAGGAAAAAAATCACTGGTGGCGTATTGAGTGGAAAAGGAGCTCGAGAATGCAATTTCTGCGCAAGAGAGAAGGTTTCCCTTTTTTCGGAGGCGGTACTGATAGAACATCGCAACCGATATGGTTTCACGTTGTTATAGAAAATTGTAATTAATGCCGTTTCTCTTACTCCCCTTTTCGCTCATATTTCCCTCCATCAAATATAGGCTTTACGCGAGAGCGCCAAAGCAGATCTTCGCGCATAGAAGGGGGTTTTGCGGAGTTAATTTTGCAATTAATTTTTCGGGAAATTGCATTAAAATTCCCTCTGTTTCTCCCTCTCTCATGGCTTTATCTCTGCCTCCCGCCTTGGCAGAATCTCATTGTAATATGCGAAGGGTTATTGACACTCATGGCAAACTCCCTTGTGCGCTCTGGAGATTAAAGCACAAATTAATGGGGATTGAAATACAATATTAAAATAGATTCTTATCACACCGCTTGAGAGATTTCTTTTCCACACTGACTCCATGGAATTGCAGTTGAAGAATGTGCTCTGCAGATGGAAACGAATCCCCAGTGAGTTAATAGTCTTCTAAATGACAGCATTTCTCCTCTTTGGCGCACACTTAATTGCTCCACACCTCCCAATTTATTGACAGAAAGTGTGTTTTGCAAATAAAAGCAATTTGCATAATTGGGAATTTACTATTTTCAAGATTATTTTCGTTAAATTGCAGCGATTGGCATATCGCGTCTTGTGCAGAAATTCCTCTTCCTACCCATCATCTTCCACTTCTCACTCCATGCCGACTGTCTAGGAATCAAGCAGAACGACCTGGAATCGCTCTGTGGCACGCAAAAATTTCTCACGATTCATGGTGTGAGATGAAAAACGGGAGACACATAAAGGGTGGGATTTATAAGTTGAAGAAGTCAAGAGAGATATGAACATTTTAAATAGTGTGATAGTTTTCAAGACTATGTCTCGGCATTTGCCATCTCCGTCGCGCGCACGCTCAGGCGCTGGGCAAATAGCACACAAACATTCGCATAAATGGCAAAAGTTGAATGAGATGTTCTCCCTATTTCATTGCAAATAAACTGTCCGAAGACACAAGTGAAAGATAGACATGCCAAGTGATTGTGGTGGCGAAGAAGCGATAGTGGGGCACATGGCGCACAAAAACCATATTTTGCCAAGCAATAGTGGTCTAAAATGGGAATAAATCATTCGCAAAGTAATTTATATTTATCATTTGACTCAATGTTCCATTAGGCGTTCTACTGGTTTTTCAAATTGTACTTCAACTTATGATGGTTTGGCGGGTTCGTCTCTCAGCCACCAATTGAAATCTTTTGATTTTCTCTTTAGTGAATCTTCGCCGTGTGTCTCTCTCTCTTCCACTTGTACACCTCTCTCTCTCCGTGCCATCGCGCGCGCGCGCGTCCATCCTCGCATTACACCCGAGTCTATTTGTGCGTTTTTCTCTCCTTGCGCGCCTTGTCATATTTGCAAGAACCACTTATAGGAGGTAAAAACAGCAAGAATGCAACATTTCAATTAAATTATGAGACACTCACCTCGAAATCTCGTTGTGACATCGTAAAAACTTCATAGAAATTTTTACGTCGATGGCAATTTTTAGTCAGCAAACTGCAGCGAATTCCTCCACTGTCGCCATTGAACTAATAAAGCCCCGCGAAGTACAAAATGCTCAATTTTTTCCCGTCAATGTTTTCCGCGTTGATAGCAACAAAACACATTCCACACCAGAATCTGCAAAAGAGAAGGTAAGACAACAAAAGAGGTCAAATCGATGCAATTTCTTCTCACTAATGCTCAGGCCACATTGGAAAAAGAAGTGTATTTCGTGCCGCAGAGCAACAAAAACGACTCTCATTTACAATACAAAACCACCTCCAATGCGCGGTGCATGAATTCACGTGAGGTAATTGTGGATGGAAGCTGCAAACAAATGGACTTATGCAATTTAATTATTAGACGACCGGGAGAGATTGAAAGAAGATCAAGATCACGTTGCGCGGAATATTTGAAGGCAAATTAGATAAAATCTATGCAGGAAGGAGTTTGTCTTGCTCTTGAAGACTTCAGCCAGTGATTCTCAAGTGTTCCAATTTCACGTGGTCTGGCAAAGAGTGGCAAAGAAGGCTATTTGCCGCCGTCTCAGTGGTTTTATTTCTTTGGAATTGCATTCAAGTATGTCTTTGAATATGAGACAATGAAATTGTGCTGCCGCTTTATTCATAAATATCCTTTAGGAAGCCTATGAAGTATGGCTCAGATCAGATGATTGAACTTAGTAAGTTTGCGTTAAGGGATCTTTGTTCTTAACAGTTCTTATTGATTACAATCGAGATGAAAATTCCTAGATAAATTCAGCTTTCAACGACCAGTCAACAATTCAGTCTAAATACCTTCTACCAAAGAAGCTCATTCTCTGGACGAAGGATGTAAAAAGTACATTAAATAAATAAATCTTTAATGCGACATGCAAACAAGTTGCCAACAGATTTATGTGTGTCGCCAAGTAACAAAATTCCCTCGTCTTCGATCCAGCTTGAGTGGAGAGACGACAATTGGGCATGAACATGCCTCAAAGGAGGAGGAAAAAATCCAGATATTTAAAAGAGGAGGAAGAAAATTCCCTTGAGTAGCCGACAATGTGAAAAAAGACGGCGATACGGAGATTCAGCATCCACTTATCAATTGGATTTCCAATTCCTTGACAGTTTGTAACTGACAGAACAAAGCTGGGGCGGTTTTCTTCCCTTACATTCGCCATCTCATGCTCGCGCGGATCCCACAATTGTGGTGCGCATATGCAAGAAATTGTCTCCTCGCCCGCGAGAGGAGTTGAGGAAAAAATTCCTAAATGCTGACAAGAGCGCTCTTGCGCGGGGAGAGAAGATCAAAAAGACAAGAAGCAAATAACAAAAGGGACACAAATTCAGCCTCTTTGCCATGCTTTGGTACACACGGAGAGATCCAGCAAATATTGACAAAATAAATTGAATCTTTGGGAAAAATCTCGCTCTCCTGGCCTTAAATAATTTATTGATTGCCAAGAGTATTTACATAAATAACTCGTTGACAATATTCGTAAATTTCTTTTGCATATTAGAAAGAAGAACACCGAACGAGAAGCCACTCAGCAAGACAACAGAAAAGAGCCTTGCCGGCATGCAGAAGACACATAAAAACCAGAAGGGAAAAGATATACTGGTGGAGAAAAATAATAAAGAAAAGAATTCACTGACCATTGAAACATTCTCGAGAAGTGTATATCTTTTATTATCACTGGACTCTTTTTATATCTCTTTGTGTTCTGTTTTTTCAAAGCTCCTTCATCTTCTGATCAACTATTTCACCGTCTCTCGGTCATTGTGACTATTTCGTCGCCCTCCTTCTTAGGCAAATTTCACTCCTTCCACAACTTTGGCAATTTCCTCAGCAAACAAGCAACTGTTTTTCCCATCTTGTGCGCCGCAACAAGGGGCAAAATAGAGAGACACAATGAAAATGACCAACTTCCGTTCATCAAATGCATTAACAACTTTGACCATTTTCACAGTCAGACATTCGCCAAGATGCTTCAGTGAGAAAATAATCACGAAATTGCCAAGTGTGGTGTGTTAATGTAAAAAAATGTCGATTTCTGGCACGACCAACACTGGCTTTTTTCGCCTCAACTCAGCTTTATTGCCTTGAGAATTTTCTATCAAAATAAAATCATAAAATCATTCATAAAGAAGGGGCTATACTTTGAATTTCTTGCAGAAAAACACCTCCAGATCCTCTCACGACTGAGATTCTCTGGCTGACCAGTTAATTTGTGCGGTGATTTTCGCCCCACCAATGAAGTGTCCGCGTGAGAAGACCAAAATTTATACTGTCAACGCCAAAAAATTGAGGAATCACCGTGCGTCTCTGTCGGGACATAAAACCCAGAAAGAGAGAAGAGACTCACGGCAGAGACAGACGTTTAATTAACGAAAATTACAGGGAGAGAAACAAAACTCCCCTCATCAGTTCATCCACAACACACCAGCTCCAATGGAGATCTTTACACCCATAAATTCACTCCTTTTCCATTTCTTATACAAGCATTTTATACATCAATGTTTGCTATATACTCTTTTTACTGTGGCGCCGCTCGCCAAGGGAAGTCACGGATATTGCAAATGAAGTGAGAAGAGAATTGCTAAGAATCTTCACTCATGCTGTAATCTTGCTGTTTTCTTGAATCTTTCCTTGTTAGAAGAGACACAAGATATTCAGGATTATCAGATATTCAGGATTATCAGATATTCAGGAGGAATTTGAACATTGAAGACTTGAGGACTTCAGAGTGCAATAAAAAGGTATCGGAAGATAGTTGAGAAGGACTGAGGGCCATGAAGCAGTTTACAGAAGAATACCTCTTCAAAAGTAATGGAAAAGTCAGGGACAAAATTAGTGAAACCATGATGAGTTCAGTCATTACAAACCTACAATCAAGCCTACACTAGTAATTAGCCAAGACATAGAACATTGTGCAGCAATGCCTGAGTGCGGACAGATGCATATAAATTATGCCAGAGTTCAAGAAGAGTCAGTTGAACGGGAGAATCTCAGCTGCCAATAAGCCATAAAAGCTGTACGGCAATTTTTTGCCTTGTCCAACACTGAGAAACAACTTCAATTGTGGAAAAAAGAGCCAGGAAAAATAAAAGAGAGAGACTCTGATGGATTTGCGTTGTAATTGCAGGAGATGATTTCTGGTTAGTAACTACCAAATGGTAGGAAGGACTGCAAAGCGGAGTGCATATGGTGCACAAGAGAGCTGCCTGGGCGGGAAGCAACACACGAAATAAGCTTTTTATCCAGCAAAGGCAGACAAGAGGGAAAAAATTGGCCAATTCCGGCACATCAGAGGGTGTTTCAGACTCAGACAATGGCAACGGCTCTGTGTGGAAGACCAGTGAACTTGGGAGAGACAATTCTACCCAGAATTCAATAATGACACCGTACAGATGGAACAAGTGCAAGAAATTCCATTGAAGAATTTTCCGTGAAATTCTTGTGGGGATATTTAGTGGAGTGACTGAGAGAGATGATGGTCATTTTCTTCATCATCGCGCGCACTCCTCGTCTCCGCGCCATCGTGCAGTGGAATTTCTCATCCATTGGGCGCGCTTCTTTCACTGCGGCTGCATAGAATGCAATTGGAACATTGGAGACAACACAACACATGCACAAGGCCCCAATGCTCTGGGCCTGACACAGTCGCACACAGCAAAGGATGAAAACCATCTTCACAATGCCTCTCATTCTTTCGACTCTTCCTCACACCCAGCAATCTCTCTCCCATCTTCGGCGAAGCGTCTTCGCCACACCAATATGTGTGAAATGCATCCGATGTGATGAGATGGGAAGAATAAGTAAAATATTATATAGAAATTACTCTATGTTGAGGTCATTAGAACTTCATCAGTTGCTCATGCTGTTGCTCACGGTGAGACTGTCCGAGGCATCGAGACTGGATTGATTAGTTGCAAATACTTCTGTCTGCAGCACTTTTTTGATCGGCCGCGCAAGAAATTATGTTCCGCATTTCAGAGGATCTTCACTATGGGCGGCTCTAGGCTAGAGAGAGTCGCCTAGAGCGCACATTCCTCAACACTGGGGGAATATTGTGCACATGTGAGGATCACGAAAAGGTGGTTTCTCGACAATAAAATTGCACTGCGAGCAAATATACTCTGCTGGCACCTGTTTTCGGGTGATCAACACACAGCCAGAGAGAGAGAGATATTCTCTAGTAGTCCATTCCACATCTTCGCTCTAAGAGTGCGTCGAAAGACCCAACAATGAAGGCAAGACAGAGAGTTGTTGGGTGGAAAAAAAGGGGCCAAGAGAGGATCGAGACAGAATTTTTGGCAATTTTTTCACCTTCAATCTTCTCTTCGTCTCTTTTGGCATTACCTTTTGAGAGAAGGCGCACACACGATCTCGCGCGCCCCAAACAACTACACTGCTATAGTTAATTTAATTCCTTCTTCTTGGCGGGTTTTTAAACCCAGGCACAACACCATCGAGTGGCCACAACCACCGTCAAAGAGCCAACATCACTCTTGGCCTTTGGCTGGTGTGCGGTGCATTCGAAAAGTGCTGCTTTTTCCTCTCTCAACACACACTCGCGATGGTGGACAGAATTCCTCAAGCCCGTGCACTCAGAATCACACGAAAAATGACACAGAACTACATGAAATTCACTCTATTGCACCACTGTGATGCACCTTTGCACAATCTCGGGTGAGAATAGGTGGAAATTCCTACCAAAATTGGAGATTATCTGACCACGACGCGCGCGCTACATCGAGCTGATCACGACGGTCTCCATTCTGGCACTGAACTGACGAGGAGCTCTTAGCTCGGACCTCTTCGCTCTGCAAAATCACCTACCAACACCACCACACGGCGTCTCACCTTTACAGGGTGGTCGCGCGCGCGGGCAGAGCGAGATCGCAAGATCACTATTTTCACCGTTTTTTTGCTCCTTCGCTCTCTCCTCACTATCAATCCACCCACAGTGCGGCCACAATCCACGTCACTTGCGCGGATTCTCGCCAGCCAGCCACCCTCCTTGCCACCCCGACTGATTGCGCAGCAATTGGCGGCCGAATAGAGATATCAACACTCTCGCGATCACTTTGCGTTTTGTCTCAACAAATTACACAAGACTTCTTTTTCTCACTTGTCCCAGAGCAATTGTGTTGGTGTGTCGCATTCCATTCTCGCCACGATCTCTGCGCCTCTCCTGCCATGTTTGAAATTATATACCTGTGCGCGAGGGATTATTCAATTTCTCTCCCTGTTCGCTGCCGCGCGCGAAAGGTGATAAAACACTTGAAAAATGTGTGATCACTCGGGGCGAAGTTTAAATTAAAAATAACAACACATAACAATGAAAATTCACTTTAATGATAAAAACGCTCCCTTTTATCCTCCTCTTCTCTACACATACTAAATGAAAATCACGCGGCGCATGTGAAAGGGTTAATTGAAAAACTGGGGCAATAAAGATTTTGATTGATCTCTCGCTCGATTATAATAATATATATCAGACTTTCGGCGTATTTCCATAAAATTCTGTACAGTATCTCGAAAGCAAACGGAGAATTCGAAACTCGTGGAAATCAGTGAGTTATTATCCTCAAGTTCTAATTGACTTTCGAGGCACAGCACATTAAGTGGACCTCTTAAGCACTCTGGGAGTTGAGAAAGGTGTCATAAAAATCCATAAATATCACTTCAATAGATAATTTTTTTCGCTGCTGCTCATTTTTGGCTTCAGAGTATCAAGTCTCGAAAAATATAAAATGATAATTGATAATTGCGTGAATGACGAACACACAGACAGATGGAAATGAGAGAAAAAAAAAAGTCAAATTAAGTATTTTAGCGCATTGATTAAGAAGAGATTTTCATGTCTTCTGTCTTTTTCATCAATTTAAATAAATTACAGATACTTTTCACTATAAATAATAATTCATAAAAACATGTGAGATGTCGTTCACACTAGAATCCCCACAATTTCAGGGACAATTCGTGACGTTTGAGCACACTTCCTGCATTTATCCTAATCCTTTCCTATTGCTCTTCTTTCTCCCTCTCGCGTCTCTACTCTATCGACTTAGATTATTGATATAGAGTGTGTGCAGCTCCGTGCGTGGCATATTCTCGAAGAGCGCCGCTCTATTCTGTCCCTCGCCCTTCTTCACCCAGTGACCGTACACGCGGAAGGCACAGCCGTCGATCACCTGAGGAGAAGAGAGTCACAAACATCAGATAAACAGATTCATGTGCAGACGAATTGCCATACCTTTCTCAGCACCTTAACTCTGTAAGGATCCTTGAGGGCCTCTTCCACTTTGAGCGGCTCAGCCGTGAACCTCAATCGTCTGATTCGCACCACAGCCCGCACACAGAGGATGGCGTAAAGGAACTTCTTTCTGGCATTGAATAAACTCTGCCTCCTCTTCTGCAAGACCAAACAGTCACACTTCAGTGTTGATACTTGGCTAATCGCCGGCTTTTTAGTAATTCACAAGGCACAGAAATTGATAGAGATAAAAAGACAGAGAAATGAGGCAAAAGCATGCAGTGAAAATTAGAAATAAAATGTGTGTTACTCGTACATGAAAGCTTGACAGAGAGATGATTAGTGAGCCTTTTGTGTTTCCATCACAGCGATAAGCATTTGCCTAGACACATCTTCTATGCTCTCTTCTTGATCATTGGTTAATCAGCTGGCGCTTCCTTTTCATTTACATTTCCTCCTATTTTCACTATTCACACAAAACTCTTTCTATTACAGTCACAAAAAAAATCACGAAACAATCCAAATCATATGAGACATTTTTTACAGCCACAGCAAGAACATTAAGTAGAGAAATTAGAGACATAGAAATAATAAAGAATAAAACTTGAATATGTACACAACACAAAAATGGCACTATCGAGCCATCCTGGCATCTCATTCTGAATGAATGTCCCCACAAAAAGTTCTTCATTCGTACCAGTGCTATTTCTGATATACGACTGAACCTCCTTGATTTTGACGAGAGACTTCGTTTAAGTGTTCCAATGTCTTGCTCAAAAAGCTGGTGAATATATAGAAGAAATATTGTGAAATAAAATAGTGATTGTGCATTTCTTTCGTGTGGATTTTCTGAGGTGCTGCGAAATTTGACAGAAATTTTGCAAGGTGGGAAAAAGAAAATATCTACAATGATCTACAAAAGAGATGTATAAAATGGAGAAGTAGAAAAAAAAACAACTAAAAAGATCTACTGAAAGTAAATTCTCGGGTAATTATGATAAAAAAAACCTCCTCCTCTAGCCAACATTGCGTCTACTTACAACTGTATTGAAGAATGGATGACGAAGAGCGTCGTGCACTGTAATGCGCTTCTCTGGATCAACCACGAGGCACTTTCTTATCAAATCTTTGGGATCCTCTGCAAAAGAAACCTCACCGTTCAATTCCCATGAGCATAAATCGCAATAATCGATTGTACCTGAAATGTCTGCCCATTCCGGAGATGTGAAACTGTACTTCCCCTCCATGATATTCCGCAGCATCACCATCTGCTTGCGATGCCAGAACGGCGGACAGCCCACGAGGAGTGTGAACATTATCACTCCGCACGCCCAAACGTCCACTTCTCTCGAGTATCCGGCAGCATCTTCGAACATGCTGCACTTGAGCGTCTCGGGCGCCAAATATCCAGGAGTGCCGCATAAATCTGGTCACCGAAAATGAAGATAAAGCCATTAGCAACACCTGCGTATCATTCCCTAATCCCAGGATCAACCCTCAGCGTAGTCGATTGGCTCGCGTCTCAGACAGAAACGATAGTTTCTCAACTGTTGTTTGTTGCACTTGAACAACACATTCTTCTCCTTATCTTTTCTCACTAATTATTTGTCGAACACGGGAAGTTTGCAACCACTTGAGAGAGTCAAATAGATAACTAATATTCGCAGTTGCATGATCATGACTCACCGAACAACTTCTGTCCCTGCTCCAGATGCTTGGCGAAGCCAAAATCTGTTATTTTCACATTCAAACTGTCGTCCAGCAGAATATTCTCCGGCTTCAAGTCTCTATGCACAATGTTAGCAGCATGAATGTACTCCACACCCTCGAATACTTGTCTGAAAGAAAAGTGAGACAAAGTGTGTGATTTTTTGAGGTGTGAAAGGAAGGAAAATAAAAGAATTTAATCGATTTTCTGACCAACACTAATTCTCAATGTCAAATCTCTTCGCTGGAACAGAAGTTTCCAGACGTTGTAGCGTTAAAGAAAACGACCAAAGATGCGAATGACCATCAATATTAACTCTTTATGTTAGACACTTAATATTTTGTGAAGTTTTCTGGATAAAATCCGGCGTTCTCTTCGACCGATGCCAGTGGAACGGCGCGAGATTCATCTGTTTATCTTAGGCACACGCTATAAATTGTCTCAGACCATGATAAAGGCTTTAAATTTTCCACCTTGGACTCTGGCCGAGATTTTCTCTCCATCCCATTCATAAACAACACGAAAAAATCAGTCTGGAGACGCGCAAATTGCAAAAGTTCACAGGCCGGTCACTAAAACAGAAATGTGTAATCTCTCAGGGAGAGAGAGAGAGTGTGAATCAAGTGGAAAAATACCTCATTATATATCGCGTCTTCTTCTCCGACAGTGTCACGACGGAGGTGAGATAGTCAAACAGCTCGCCGTTCTTGCACAGCTCGAACACCAGGAAGATGAACGCGTCCGACTCGAACACATCCTGCAGCTCGATGATGTACGGATGTCCCATCACTTGGCGCAAGATGGAAATCTCCTGCCGTGTCGCGTCCAGCATCTGGTGTGCTGACGCCTCCGTGGCTCCCTCGGCGCCCAAGTCGATGATCTTGGCAGCGAACTCCCGACCAGTCTCCTTCTCGATGCACCGCCGGACTGTGGAGCTGATGCCTCTGTTGCCCCCATTAAGAGCCGAGAGAACACACAAGAGACAATCAATTTTCTGGGTCAGCGCGGGACACTTTGCTGTATTTTTTTGTCGGAATCTCCCCAAGATTCGCGCGCACGCTCTTCTTTCCGGGATCGTCAGACAACTGACGACATCCACACGCAATTAATTACCCACTAATTTCGCTCCAATTCCCTTCCTTACAATATTTTCTTCCTATCAGGCGGCTATTTTGCCTCCGCGCGGCATCTCACAGATATTGCATCTCAATCATCTCAATGAAGCGGACACTGATCTCGGGATCTGTTTGTTTACGAACGGGATTCAGGGGAAAACGAGATCAATGGAAAATACAAGAGAGAAGGGAATTTCACCCAAATATTGCGTCACATGATTCGTCCATTCCTATTTATTTATGGAGACTTTTGCATGAGCAAAATATTGTTTTTTAAACATTAAACATAACCTGATTATTTTCCAATAGGTTTTGCAGTGCGATAAACTCGCAAATCAAAAGCAAGTGCTGATTGTCTAGCATGAAATCACTAAAGTTCCCGGCAAGTTACAAGACTGGAACGAAATTGCACGCATAAAAACACCTCTGAACAGGATTCTTGAGGTAGATACAGGAGTTTTTCCACATCTTAATCAATATATGACATTTGCAGATAGAACCAAAGATTTATATTTGGAATAATATGTAGTAATTTTAGTTTTGAACCCATTTCAAGAATTTAGCAACAAAAATAGCAAGAAGCCCGGCATTTTTCGCGCTATTTCACGCTCCACCGAATTATTGCTATTTTATAATGTCTATAATGATAAATTCCTAGCCAGTAAATTCATGAATTCCTATTAGGAAATCGCATTTCTGTCCAATTTGTAAAGCTAATAAGTCCCAATAAGAGAAACATGCAACATGAGGTCAACACTAGAATCCGCGCCACTTTTGGCCGATTCTGCCTACTGTAGGACTGGGAAATGTTGTCATTAGACTTTGGTGGGCTTATCTTGGTCAGATTCTTCCCTCATTTCTGGCCTTTTTTGCACACTCTCCTCGTGTGTCGCAAGCAAACAAACGGCGAAGAGAGAAAGCAAGAGGAGCAAAAAAAGACCCAATGTTACTCAACAAATTGTTTTCAATTTGCCAATAATCAGTGAATAAATAAAAATATCGCAGCGTGTGCACTCCCACGAGCGCCCCAGATCGCCGCCCCGCGAGCTCATTACCTGCCCAGGATCTCCTTCGGCTCGTACTTGGCGTAGAAGCCCTTGGCGGCATCTTTGTCCGGCAGAAAGTCGTCCTCCTCCTCGGTGTCTTTGGCCATCCTACTCCTACCTATCTTGGCGAATGTCTGTGGCGGGCCCCGAGCGATCGCCCACGCGTGGACTGTTCACTTTTCACGCACTTTTCATGAATTTTCACCACCCCTTTCACGCGGCTGCGACACTTTTTTTCAATGTCAGAAAAAGGTTAAAACTGCTCCTCAGTGAGATGGATTTTCGCCACTTTGCACACTATTACGCACCTCCATTTGAGCACTTTCCACATTTACGGTGTCTCTGCCGCCGGTTGAAGTGCTTTTCACGCTGTTTTCTGCGAGAATCCAGGGAAAATTGAGGAATTTCGCGTGGAGAAGTGAGATTGCTGAATACTTTTCCGACCAATTCTATCCCCCTTTTATTTTGACGTTTCGCCTCTCGCGCTCTCTCGCGTCCCAAATTCACTCTCTCGCTCTCTTTCTCTCTGGGACACTTTTCGGCTCACACGCTCCACAATTCGAACGCCATCATCGAACTCCAACTGCCGTTCCGTCGAAGAAATGTCATCAATTTGAAAATTTCACTTTATTGAGAATAATATTGCGTGATCAGAATCACAAAGTGAAATTGGCTCTCAAATATCATTTACATTTAAAAGTTGCGTCCAATAAATGCACTAAAGACAATAAGATATGATGAAAATGGAGTATATATATAACGCACTTAAGTTTTAAGTACTCTACGAATTTTCCTCCCTTTTCTCTATAAAAATTCCCTTATAAAAATAATCTCTCCACTCATCGCGTTCGGCTTCGAAGTAATATTGCGGGAAATAAGTATTGGAAAAGTCCACCAAATGCTGTGGAATGTGCCAGAATTGGTGTGTGTGCGCGGAAAGTACGAAAAGATGCGGGAAAAGAAATGTTAATGCATGCATAAATGTTCACTGCTGAGCTTTGATTTTGGCCTGCATGCGCGCCAATTCCTCCTGGATGCGCTGCAGCTCGGCCTCCTTTTCCTGCAATATGCGATCCTTGTCCGTGATGACCACGTCCTCGTCTTTGGCAACGCCGTTATTGCGCTTCACGCCTTTGGCCAGTCTCTCAGATCTGTAGTTTTCGTAGTGAACCTCCTGCGTCACTTCCTGGAGGTCCTGCATGTGTGTTCTGCAAGGAATCAATAGTCAGATAAGCTAGCGACCCCAGTCTGCAGCCCAAGCACTCACATGAGCATCGTTCTCAGCTTGATGAAGTCGCAGTGGTCAGGATTCTCCACCTCAACCACGCCCCAGGGATAGAGGCGGCCGCGCACCTTGCGTCCCTTCACCTCCAGCAGCGTCGTGGCGCCGCACACGGCGAACGGCACGGCCTCCTTCAGCTGCCTCACCTGCTCCTTGTAGTCCTCGTCCTCGTCGCTGTCGCAGTCCGGCAGTGGGTAGATCTTGATGCCGTTCTCCTCGATCTCTTGCAGGATGCGGCACTTGAGGCGCTGGATCTCCTTCTTCGTCAGACAGTCCGCCTTGGCGATCACGGGCACGATGTTGACTTTGGAGTGGAGCTTCTTCATGAACTCAATGTCCAGCGGCTTCAGCCCGTGTCCGAAGGGCGAGATGAAGTAGAAGCAGCAGTGGATGCGATTGTCCACGATATTGCGCCGATTCAGACCGCTCTCGTCGCGCAGGAAGCGCTCGTACTGCTCGTCGATGTACTCCAGGATTGCACTGAAGCTGTCGCTGTTGTCGATGGCATCGCCGAAGCCCGGAGTGTCCACAACAGTGAGTCGCAGCTTCACGCCGCGCTCCTCGATCTCCACCGTGGACGCGTCCAACTTCACCGTCTGCTTCTGCTTCTCCACCGCGTCCGGGATCACGCGCTCCGGATACAGGTCCGTGAGGAAGAGACTGTTGACCAGCGTGGACTTGCCCAGACCGGACTCGCCCACGACCATCAGTGTGAACTCGAAGCCCTTCTTCACGGACTTCCGGTGCACCTGGTTGGGCAGATTGGCGAAGCCCACATATCCGGGCGTCTCGAGGCTGGAGAACTGCAGAGAAATGGGATTAGTGAGTTTTCGGGTCACCAAACAGCGCGCAGCGACGCCAGTTGCATTCTAAACACCCGCGAGCGCACGCGAAACTCTCCGCGTCGCGCGGACGTGACGGAATCTGGGTTCCCACACCCTCAAGTGCGCCCCCCAGGGTCGAGAACGCCCCGGTGAGTCACTCTCCCCAGCATCCGGACGTCATCAATCAGCACAAATCGCTCCAATTGTCTGGCGACTCTGGCGGGGTCAACGGACGCCTCGATTGGGGCAATCGATACTCACGCTCTTCACTGAGTCCGACGACATGGCAGCAAGGCTGGGATGTGTCCGGGAACGCACAACTCGCGGAGAAAACAGAGAAATTAAAACAATTCCACCACGTACAGAAAAAGTGCACTTTCCTTCAAATTCCCCCAACAACTAAACTGTCGGCAGACTGCGTTTGAGGCGCTGTTGTCGCTTTTCCTTTGAGAGCCCACCAATGGCGTCTTATGATCTTCTGTTGGATTGTCGTAAGATAAATTCAAATGATTATGGAAATTGCGTTGGAATTTTTGAATTTCAGAACTCAAAATTCGAAAATGAAATTTAATAAAATTAGTTTTAAGTTCAAGTAACTAAGAAAAAAAAATTATTTTCGCTCAAGGCTCAATCAATTGAATTTGTGTGAGACACAGATTAGAATTCTCATCTGACTTCTCCACTGAAACATTTCTATTGGGCAAATGGTGGGGAATTTGAAGTGCTGCCCGATGGGAAGTCGCTGACATTGAAATTCAGCACCTTTCCCGCCAATGAGGCTTAGTTTCAAACCTTCACCCACTTCGCTATCCTAATTTCTGGCGCTTTCTGGGGCGCTTCATGCGCGACCCCCCTCGACACAACAACATCACGCGAGAATTCTCATCTCGAGATAAATCTGTGCTGTCCAAATAGATTATTTCTCCGCAAACAGTGGGCTTTGTGACGAAAGTGATTCGATCGCGTCAGGAAAATCACAAGATTGCCTTATCGAAATTGTAAATTGTGGAAGAAAAACACTGCTTATTTACTTAATCACAATGTCTCAGCGTGGATTTGAACTCTAAGCACTTCTACATGTCTAAAGCTTGCATTCACACTGCCCAGCCGTGATTTGGAGAGGTTTGTTGGCTTTGCTCTTACGCAGGATGAAAAAATAATTTACAGCTGTTTTGATAAAATATTTGTTGAGACTTTGGGACTGTGTTTAACCTTAAACTCACCCGCAAGCCCTGTGAGGTGCCCAATTTATTTCCTTGCGAAAGAAAAACAAAGTCTTATCGCTCGACTGATAAGGAATCGAAGTGCTTCGCGACTGGACTCGGAAGAGTTCGACAGCCGAGCTTTTGCGGCGCGATTGTGTGCGTGCTCGAGGGAAAACATCAAAACCACGTCCGTCGTGCGAGATTTTCCCATTCAGTCTCGCCAACACCATCGAGGAGAAGTGAGCTTTCCATGGGAGAAAATGCCCAAGTTGCCATTCAGTTATTGAGTGTTGTTATCTGAAAATAGGGTGGATAAGAGCAAACTTTTCTAACTGCATTTCGTATCCTTTTTCTCACTTGATTTCACTCTTTTTTGTGTGTGCCGTTTCGTTCTCTTTCTTTTCGTCACTTTCTTCGCCTGTGTGAAAATTGGTGGAAAAACTCGTGCTCGTGTGGCGAAAAGTCGTGCTGAGAAGCGCAAATATCGAGAGAAATTTTGGGAAAACTTTGAATATATGTACTTTTTGCGTGATTTGCCTATCTTTTAACTCTTCGTCACCCTTTTGTGTGCACTGTGTGCGGTTTTCGTCGCAATTTTCCCGGGTTGTGAGGAAGAACATTGGCAGCGTGAGAGAGAAAAGGGGGCGCGCTCCAGTGGAGGAACAACAGAGATTAGAGGTAAATGACATTTTATCTATCTGTGCCACTCTCTCGTCTCGCGGAGAAATTGAGCTTTCGCATCTCGAGAGGCTGGAAATTGAGTGGCAATATTCCTGGGAGAAAATTGATAACGCAGGCGAGATTAATGAATATTGTGTGTCAAATTTATCCGGAAACGAATCATTTTTCTATCGATTTTCCCTCCACTCTCCGCTCTCCTCGCTCTCACTTGCTCTCCAAGGGGATGAATAAAGCCAGCCTGCTAAGCTTTGAGAGCTTTTACAGTCCAATACACTATGTACATGGCCACATTTTCGCCGAGAGCGCGCGAGAGAGTGAGAGAGAGAGAAAGTGGAGGAATATTCATGGGAAAAGTTGAATTTATATGCGAAGGAGGACACACGAGGATTTCCCCATGTATTTGTATGTTGTGTGTCGTCTCCAATAAACAGAAAATGTGCCGCTCCACCCCCTGCCGATCGGCTCCCCCCGCAGCAGCAGCATTTCGCCTTTTGTGAGCGCCTGCGAAGACGAGCCGTGAAATGGAGGCGCCTGGTGTCTTCCATCGCCACGGCGGAGACATTGAAAAAAGACCCCCAATGATTTATCTCCCCCGCCCGCGCCCGCCCCGAATTTGACCCCAAAATTTCTCAATTCACGTCCGAGACGCAAGAAGTGCTCGTGTGTTTTGTCCACACAACGGCCCAACTTTCCCAGCAAGAGCCAATTACACACGAATGTGTGCTTAGGCTATGTATTGATCGGCCTAGTGAAAGTCTACAAATATTTTGGGGGCGGCGAGAGGGGGCCAGATAAAAACACAAGACACTTCAACCCCCTCTTCGTGGCGCACTCGGTGTCTCTGTGGGGCGAGTGGAAAATGATGGCACAGCAACAAGTTGCCTTTCTTCGGGCTCCGCAACTAAATACCACACACTAGCGCACCGCAGTCGAATACAAAGGAAGTTATTTTATTGATTAATGACTGGAGGAAATTCTACTCTCAGCCTTTTTCCTCGCTCCACGCCAGCGGATGGAAATGCTCATCCTTCTCCATTCTCTTCGGGGGCGAAAGGCACTTCATCGCCTCCATGCCGATGAAATTGATGCCAAGTGGGATGAGGCCAGGAAATCACTGATAGGAAGCAATGGTGCACTCTATCAATTGACTTCTTATTTATATTCCCTGAACTTTAGCCGTCCTTTCTATATGTAGTATCTGTGGAGCGCAAGGAGAGCAAATCTACTTCCTATCTGATGTGCAGAATGGCCACTTTTCACCCTTGTTTTCGCCATAAAAAAGTCACAAATTGTAGCGAAGAAGCATTCATAGATTTACACATTTCTCGACATTCCTCCAAAATATCTTATTCTGCTTAATTACACTTTTTTATGAGTAAAAAACGCCTAAGTGGAGTGAAAAATGAAATTGCAAATGATTTGAGATTAGTCATGTCGTGAAGCAAAGCCTCATTTTATCATTTTCCTCTTATCAGGAAGCAAACTTTATACAATAATTGAGGTGATTGCGAAATGTTTTCACTCTTGCAATGCACGAAGAGAGAGAATGATTGTGTGGAATGCACTCTCGAGGGCTTTGTTTATAAATTCGCCGGCTCCAGAAATCCCAAGTAAATTGAGTGGCGCGGAAAGAGAGAAAACAGGCCAATTTCTGCAGAACGCACTCCAATAAACCTTGCCCTCAAAAGTCGCGCTCCACAAACACACAAAACATGAAGTATAACAATATTTTTTCTACATATAAAAATAAAGGATTACCTCTGCGTACACGAAATATATACATTAAGTACGATATTTATTTTTTGGGTAATCTCAGCAAACACTCACGATGAGAGAAGAACAACATGGGCTTTGACAAACACACTCCTTCGTAATAAATTTACGACGGGGATTTGAGGCCTGGCATTCACCTCTTATCTGATGGATAAACTCTCACTGTGCTCCGTCCATATTCTGCCCAATTGTGATCCCCGTGGCTAGACTTGTGAAAAATCGCAACAGTTTGCTCGTGATGTTTGTCAACACGCCGCAAATCCGCCGGATCTCATCTGGTGGGCCAAAGTCACGCGCACTTCAAATTGAGTTGCAAACTTGTCCGCCTGGATGTCGCGTTCATTTAGCATTTGAAGCTGCATTTTTGCGCTTTTCAGGTTTCTATTGATTTCCCCATTTAACGCTGTTTTTTCTTCTTCAATTTCTGACTGAATTCTGGAACTAATAAAACCGACAAAATGGCAAATTGATTCAGAGTGCAAACTAATGTTACCTTTCAATCTCATCCTTCCGCTCTTCATCGATTTTATCTCACTCTTCGCCACCGAACATGCACAATTTTTATGATTTTGCTACATCAACAGAGAAAAATGTTCCTGTATTTTCCCCGCCAAAAAAACACTGCACAAAATGTCCCGGGAAATTGCAAACTTCGCTGCGTATTTTCCCAGAGAGCGCGCGGAAATGGGAAGCACTACATTGCTGAATATGAAATTAGACCCTTGATATTTCACATTTTGTAGCAAATTAATAATTTAATTTTCACTTGATCTACGACATTTCGGTGCTCACCTTCTTGTTTCGCACGGCCCACATAAAGAATTCATTCGGCCCTCTCGGCAATGTTTCATGGCATTTCGCATGAGGCTGAGGTGGAAAATTGAAAATTGCCATGGCCAAAAGTGAATTTGGCAGGGTGAAAAATTGATGAAAAAATCATCCCTTGGGCTGGTGATTCTTCTCGCAAATTTGCATTCAATTTGCACCCTCAATTATTGCCTCAATTGACTCAACAAATTTCAATACCAATTTTCCGTGTGAATTTTCCAACTGATTTAATTGATTTTTTCCCACCTTCAAATGCTCGCCAGGAGGCAAACGCTTCAACACTGGTAACAGTCTCAGGAGGAGAAAAATCTACCGAAGGACTCTCAATTAAATTATTTACCTAAAATTTCTCTGCCATCTCTCGAGAGTCGCACGGCAAATTGCGAAGAGAGCACAGGAGAGACAGGAGAAGAGGGGAAAATTGAAAAGCGTCTTTTCGTCACTTAATAAATTGCTCGTGATAAGACAATTTGCCATCGGAATTATATTCTTTCCAGCGCCCAAAGAATCCACAGTCATTCAGTGTCGCGTCTGGGGCGCAAATGTGTGTTCAATTACACGGTGATTAACACATTTATCGATTTGATTTAGTTTCTCGATTGCTGTTGGTCTCGTGATGTCGACATGTGCCAATGAGCTGATGGCAATCTTGCTGATTGCTCATTTTCGGGCCAGAAAGCGTTCTGCGCGCACTTCATAAAAAAGTGAAGCGTAGAATATCGACTTTGTTCATTTTTTCGCAATCACGCCAAGAGAATATTGTTGACGAAAGTCACGTGGAAGTGGAAGAAAAAAGAGGGGAATTTCGTCACACATTCCGTCTGATGATTGATTGATGCGAGGAAGGGGTGTGAATTTTTTATGCCTAGGCAGAGAATCAGAATCAATTGAGAATCCTTCAAAATTGCCTAAGCAGGGACGATAAAAAAGATGCTAAAGTGAAAATTGCTCACCACAAAAGCGTCCAAATTGCTCAATAAAGAGCCATAGTAAATTCCGTGGAAAAGTCACATAAAAGGGCTCTTTAAATTTTCACAGTTTCAACTCTTTTATCGACAGACTGATAATAAACTCCTCAACTCCAAAGTGCTCTTGTTTGTGGTGAAGGTAAAGAAAACACAGTCGCAGAGAGAAGGCAGCAAGACAACACCTTGTCGATTCCACCCTCGGGAGAGTCCCAATTTGTTGGGGTGTTTTAGTGTTTTCTTGTGGGGCTTCCATCGTGAATTCTGACCCAAATCAATGTCACTAGACTTTGGGAGTGTTTTTGCGACTCTTCTTCCCATGCGTACAACTCAGTGAATGTTTGCTTGAATAATCAATTAAGCGTTCCTTTTTTTCGGCTGTGGAAAGTTGATTAGTTGGGCTTTTACAACTCCGGAATGGGCGTCTTTTCGAGTTATATTGATCATATGACTGTGCGCCATGCTAATGGAATTAATAATTAAGCCATGCGCCTCCAAAATGCGGAGGGTGTTTTTATTTTCCACTAAACTTTCTCTCGCAACTCCCCAAGAATTGTCTCATGTGCGAGGTGTTAAATTGCTGGTAAACTGAACAAGGAAACTTTCTTCTAAACACGTGAAGAATTTTCACTGCGATGTTTGTTTGCGAGTTGACGTCAAAAAGTTTTGCGTATTGCGTTTCATTTTCCTGTGAAAGGAAAACTCGAGTGAGGGAATTCTGAAGATGTCTTTTGTCAAATCCTTTGAACCATTGTTTCACTGAGTTTTCTTTCTTCGCGCCATTGTTCTGACTCTCAAAGTTCATTTAGGATACAAAGGGCAAATAATTGAATCTAGAATCTAGAACATCATTTCAAATTATTCACCACGCAAATAATAGGCATTTATGTAGCACATGAAATTGATCAATTGTGCCCCTTTTCGACCTCAGATGCGCAATGTGAGAACACAAGACGATGTTTGTGTTGACATGCAATGGAACATTGTTGCAGATTCTTCAATTCTTCACATGACCACAAAAGCTCTTTTCTCTCCTCTGTTCTGTCAATGCTTTGCTGTGGATTGAATTTCATTTTAATTCTCGTCATTTTGTCTCCTCTTGTACACTTGTCAATGCCCTTCGACAAAGATATGCGATATCAAAAGCATTTAGCGTCATGCTGCAAATTGACACACTTTTCAATCTGTCTCGGCTTTTTGTTCGACATATTCTGTAAAGGTGGTTTTTGCGGGAATTGATTGAATTTGACGAGACAAATTTCAGCCTCGAAAATGGGGAAAGAGACAATTTTATTGATGTCTCCAGTCATTATTTTTGATTAATGTGTCATTTCTGCACCTCTTTCACACCCCAGAAGCTAATCCGAAGCCTCAATTTGACCATAAATAATTACAAGGCTCGCTTTGGGAATGGGAAATAGTCCTCAAATTGAGTTTCACGTGCTCATCCCTGCCAATATTATGGGGATAATTATCCCTCCGAGCAATGAATCAATAATTATGTAAAATTTATTGGATAATTGATTAGAAAACTCCAATTTGCCGCTCCGCCAAGAGGAAATATTCAGTCAAGCCGTGAATGAGCGCTTCTCATTGAAATATTCAAAAGCCACCCCGTGTGCAATTGCAGCGAATTCCAAATGAGTCCTTATGTAATTGATATGTGGTCAGAGTCCTTTGGAGGTTCTTCACCTGCCCCCGTCCTTCAGTTTCCTCCATTTTTCCTCCTCCTACACTAAATGTTGCATGAATAATCGTGTCTGCAATCCTTATGCTTAGGATGGCAAACCCGATGAATAATTCCAGAGCTTGTTTGCAATTGTAAATTGCACCAAAGATTGACTTTGGGGAAGTTACTTTCGTGCTCTACTCACAAGATTACTTCGGGTAAAAAGGGAAGAAAAAGACTGGAGGCACTCAGGAATATGAGCCAGATGGAATGCTGATGGTAAGAAGTGTATTAAATAATATATTCGCATTCTTTTGCGCACAACACCGTTGAAGGAGGTTTTCTTTCCTCGCCACTCCACTGCTTGCTGACTCTGGCTGTGTCATTTAGCCACCCTCCAAGTACAATGAGGCTTTCTTCCCATTGTGGAGGAGAAGAAGTAAATCTAATCGATGGAATTGACGTGATCAGTGATAAAAATAATGTTCTTCCAATATATATTAGTGAAATTACCCAACCATTGAGTTCTGAGACGTCGTCAAAGGGGTTGAAAGGGGGTTTGGGGCTCATTCATAGGGTGCTCCGCACCGTACACTTGTGCGATGGCTCAGAAGAAAGTGGAGGAACGAAACACCCTTTCGAGACGGGGCTGAATTGATGGGTGGCAGAGATTTCCTTCAATGCGCTCATTTTCCGCCTATAGAACGTCGGGAAAGAGAAAGAAATCATCAAATCCTCCTGCATACCTCATTCTCTCATTATGGCAACTCCCCACACCCCCAAGGCCTCGAGCTTACACAACATTGAATTTGTCTTTTGTGTATCTGAGCCTCAGAATTGCCTTCTTGCGGTGGGCGGAGGAGAATGATTGGTTATTTGCAGAGCTTTCCATTCTCATAACGCTGGATGGAAATTGCTTTTCTATTTAATTCGATTTCCTCCGATTTTTCCATCGCAGCCCTTGTCAGTCGAACGCCCTCACTTTGAGGGTTTGGTTGCAATTTCCGCGCACTCTCTTCGCCACCGTCGAGTGTGTGACAGTGTGATGATTGTCGAAGGGTGTCGCGTGAGCCTTCGGGATCGCCGGGATGAGGAGACATGTGAAATACCGCGTCTCAAGTCGCCAATCCTCAGGCGAATCTACGAACCCTTCAAGACACACAGGGCGGTGCGGAAGCTGTGCATCCCCAGCGTGGAGGCAAATCCCATTCCCATCAAAACACATGACAAGTCCGTGAAAATACCAAGGAGAAGCCGTAGAATCTCACGGTCACTGAGAATGCCAAAGAATCAATTGCCAAGGGAACTTTTGCAGATTCCCTCACTCCCATTTCCAAGGTACAATACCGCACGTTTATGCCCCAAAAATTAATCTCAATTCTTGAGTGATTTTCTTCCATCGCGCACAGACCCAAAAAAATGTGGAAATTCACCATCAATTTCTGGGCCCTAAAACAATTTTAAATAGATTTCGCTGACGAATAAAATTACCATAAGATTATGTAAAACATTAATCCACGAGGAATTTTTCGGAGGATTTATTGCCAACCACTAAAAAGCCATGAGCCTTTATAATCATCCATGGCAAGATGAAGAGCTTTTATGCAAACATTCACCTTTCACCGAAGTTTTTTCTGCCTCTCCCGCGCGACATTATTATTCTCGTGGAAAATTTCGCGATGATTTGCGTGTAAAGCGATTAAAGAGTTCAATAACTGCCGCAGTCGAGAATTTTTATAGCACAAAAGAGCCTCTACAATGTCGTGACGGAAAGCTACAGCAAGTCTAGCAAGTGATTTGACGTGCCAACAAAATAAAGCCGTTGATTATACAAATTACATTTTAATTTCGCCTTTTGCAACACATTTTTCACTTTGTTATGTTTGGAAAAAGTCTATGAGAATGTTTGCTGAGGAAGCTTATAATTCTTCATGATCTTGTCTTGGCAGGTTTGGCGTTAATTTGTGCCCAGGACGAGGAAGACAGACTCTTTGTCAGCAATTCAACAACGAAATCCTTTCGGAGCAACTGCAGAAGGTGAAAAGTGCCCACAGCGTTGAAGATTTTCGCAAGCTACTGGAGAAGATCCATTCTGACGAGACACCCAAGCGAGCATCGGGTGTTCAGACGGACCTTGAGAGCCATCAGCAGGAGATTCTAGTGCCACAGCGAAGGAATCCGCCGGTCGAGCGTGGCCTGAAGTTACGCGGCGAGGGAAAGCCAGTTGAGGAGTGGATCGCGAAATTGGCAGTAAATTGCCACGACGAGGGATTTCAGGAGCATCTCCAGTACCTGGAGGAGTGCAGCTCGAGACTCAGCAAGAAGGAGCTTCATCCGCGCCGCGAAGCAACGCCATCGAGCGTGAAAAGCGACTCGGGGCGTCGTGCATACAAGATCAGCGTGAAAATCAATGGTTCGCGTGTGACGAGCGAGCATCAGGATGCAAATCTCGTAGAAAGTTTTGCACGACTCGACATCGCGAAAGGAAATGCTGCAGTACCGCAAATAGTGCTGAATGACGACATCAGAAACATCGTAGAATTCGAGCATCTCACTTCCTCACGTCACGAATTGTCGGCGGATGTGAAAAGCTCTGGGCTGCTGCTAAAAATTGCAAAGCGACCGAGGCATTCGCGTAAATTTTCACGCTGATTTCCCTGTTTTCGAGCCTTTTCTGCGCATCAGACAATCCCGGCCGACTCACGGAGAAGTCAGGCAATTGGGAAAACCAATTAATAGCTTAGCTATAGAGAGACATGAAAACAATCAAAAGTGCCATTGCAATGAGACAGAAATTCTAAGAAGTAAAAACACACAATCCTTCTAGTTTCATTTTCCTTTCGTGCTTGCGACACACTAAACTTTCCCCAGACATCATCTAAAGCTTCCGTGTAAAAACCAACCCCGAACATCAACCTCTCAATCGAGGCGAACAGAAGCAGACAAACTGACAAGAAAAGAGTCCCGAGAAGAGGGAGAAAAGAATTCACCGTCTGCGAGTGATTTTTACAGCGGGAAATTGATTGAGATTGTCCAGGAGCAACAATGGTTTCAATGATGGACGTCGAACCAAGCAAAGGACAAATCTGTGATAGTCGTCCGACATTGGTGCAAAGTGCCGTAAGTCAGCGCTCTGTGGAGCTCGTCATGCCGCCCCGCACGCCCGAGGCGGAAGTCACGAAGAGGACGCTGAAGCTCAACCTGAAGAGTGCGTATCCGGTGGCCTCGACACCGCCTGGCGGCCAGGCGGAGAAGGGAAAGACCGCGATTAAGTCACCAAAATCGCCACTTGGGAATTCAGGTGAGTCCTCAACATGCTAATTCACTCCCCAAGGCTCCCAAAGCGCCCACTTTTCACGCAGCAAGGCTGCAAAACTCTCTGACAATTTTCACGGACGCGTCGCGCAACGAGGAAGCATAATTATTGTCATCAAGTTGAAGGATTCACATTGAGAGATGGCGTAAAAACAAGCAGTGACGACTTAACGGGCTTTTAATAATAGTTTAATAAGAGATTAGTGGGCAACGCATCAAATATTCATTAATAAATTATATTCAATTAAATAGTGAATGAAAAATAGAAATATCCACAATTTCGTCTTGAAGCCCTATTAATAAATGGAAATTTATAGAAAGTTACAGTTGCTATCTGGAATTCTTCAAATTCATCTTCAAAGCAGACAAATTATTTAAATTGTTCACAAATTAGCTTGCAATGTGTACAATTTTTTAGCTAATTTAATCAGAAAGACATTAGAGGAAAGGAATTTCGTCAAGAATACCAGCAAAGAATAATAAAAATCTATCTATTTAGGTTTTCTATTACAAACGCAAAGCTCCGCTACTGAAAACAAGGCGGAGTTAATAGAATTGATTGATTTTGTTATCACTTGCGTTTGGCGCATTTTATCAAACCGTGCTTAACGAGTTAAATACACTTGAGTACACAAATAAGCGCTGCTTTATCCCGGATATTCAAGTCATATTTAAAGACCCTTATCTATATATTTCTTGTGGTCTTTGTTTGCTGAAATTGTTGGTGGAAAAACACGAAAAGTCTCCAAAACCGCCCAGATGCTGAAAATGTTGTCTTTTAATTGGTAAAACCAATCTTTGCGCTAAAATTTATGCTCATGACGACAAACTCCTGGAAAGCACTCATCCTGGGGGAAAAACGCCCACGAAATTGCGATTCTCTCTGTCGGAGGAAGTCTGTGAAAATTTCAGAGAGTTGATAAATTCATTTGGCGCCAGGAGTGCGAGGGTGTGGGGGTGATTTTGGCTGGGGTGCTCTTTGATTGATGATTGTCTCTCGACATTCTCACAGGTGTGACAATGGGGAATCGCGTGCTACCCCATCAGACTTCATTAACGGCACAAATAGACTTGGTGGAGGATCGAAAGGCACTTCGTGACGCTCTTTATCAGGTGAAAATTCCCGCGTGCCGAAAAAAGCGCACCTTATCAAACTCATCCCAATATATTTTTTCTCTCTTTCGCCGCTTCTCTGTTTTCCAGGGCATTTTCCATCGACACCGACGAACCATTTTTGCACTTGGCAGTTTTATTAGGATGCTTAAGACACGAAATTCCTCCTACAACACCATCAGAAGCTCATCAGAAGGTGATGAGGAAGGCAGATAAAATATTTTCGATGGATTAATTTAATCACACACATACACACACACACATTGGGATGCAATAACAAAAGGAGGCAACAAGGACTCTTCCTCATCCCATCGCGCCATCGATCTCTTGAGTGTGTGCAGAATTTCTTGCGCAATTTCATCCATCTGTGCCCGCATTATCTTTGCCTCCTAAGCGCTAACATTGTGCATTATCGAGCATTAATTATGCCACAACTTTGGGTCATCGCGCGAGATAACACGGAGAAAACATGAAAAACTTCCAAGTACGTAAGATTAATTGGTGAAAAATGTCTTTTTTTGTATGTTTGACGCAAAGTAAACACAAGTGTGTGAAGAAACGTTGTTGAATAATATTATTTTGCCGTAGTATTAAGGCTTTACCAACAATATTATGAGGAGTTATTGCAAGTTTGTATCTGTATAAAGGATTATATATGCGAAAATTTACCCTAAGTTAGTCTCTAAGCATGGTTTGATGATTTAAGCATTAGAGATTGAGAAGAACCCACACGATTTTTAACGTATCACAGACCAAGTATATGATAAAAAAAACTTCACCAGAGTGGATAGAGTCATGAAGAACACCTTGTTTAGCGTAAATTTAATACTGAATACCGCGAATATTTGTATTGATAAAGGAGCTTATTATATACACGAATAAAAGGATAAATAGTCATTGATATAAAACGTTATACTGAAATGATTTTACTTGAAGAAAGAGTGCGGTTAAAGTTTTTAAAGTATGAATTGCATTGGGTTCAACTAACAATAGCGTAGCGTGAGGAGATGATATTGTAAATTATAGGGGAAGAGAGAGTTACCAGAGGTAGAGGAATATTTTACACACATCATATCAATGAATTTTTATTCACATTTTATACCGAAAATGATATAAAGAGCCTTTTTATGTAATTTCACCCCATTATTTTACCCAGGATAATGCAATTTTTCATAGAGAAGATAGTCGAACACTAGCAAGTAGGATTGGTTAAGGAAGAACAAGCTGAGACACATGATAAGTTAGCTAAAGCATACTTTGTATATAATAGTGAGAAAACACAGGGATTTCATATGGGTAAAGAATAAACTTCTAGGTTATTTTTTCATCGTTTTCCATTTGTCTAGTTAGTTTTCTTTACGAATGAAGAAGTCCTCTATCCTTCCAGTGAGGAATGTAACAGTGAGAAACATCCGAATATAGACTTTAGATGATTATTTAAAACCCTGTGCACGAAGAGAGAAGTTCTGTGTTGATATTCTAGAGACAGAGGAACACTTTTATAATTGTTATATTTCCCAATTTGTATGAGAGTGATGATTTTGGAGGAAAATAAATAACTGTTATTGAATTTATTATTTTCACGCGATATTTCAGCAGGGAAAATCCAGTCTGCAGCGAATAAAAGGTCAGTGAAATGCAAGTAATTCCAGGACTGACGAAATCTAGACGAAAATAAATCCTTTTTGTGTGAAATTCACCTCCGCAAATTCAATAGACTTTCGGCGAGAGTGAAAATCCATTCTTTTAAGCCTTTTCTCTTGTTTATTCTTCCTCAAGAAGATAATCTGTGGGGGATTAGAGAAGTGGAAACTACTTACTGGCGAGGAAACTGGGCGTCCACTTTTTCACTGGCGCCACGGGCTTTCCCGACTCCTCGCGCTCCTTCTCCTGAATGTGCTCATAGAACTTCCTCTGGTTCTCCCGGAACTGCTCAAGTGGATTATCAAATTGCCGATAGTACTGCAGCACTTCCCGCACGTCGTCGACTTCCGACACGGCGATTGTCTGCAGAAACGCCACAAGATCGAACAGTGTCGCATCGTCGTCATTTCCCGTCCATCGCGAGAGGTTGAATGTGTTCTCGGGGTGGAGTTTGGTGGAGTTGGGATCCCAGTCGATGACAATCACCTTGCTCAGATCCCTGTTGAGGTTGTCCAGGTTCTTCACGTGATGTCCGTCGACGAAGTGTGTCGCATCGCGCACGAGGCGATACATGATGTAACCATTGGGATCGAGAACGTCCAGGATGGGGAAGACAGTCATGCCCTGATCCGCTGTGTACACGACAATCTCAAAGTGCCGCGCCAGCTGTTCCAGGAAGTTGTCGACGCCGGGGCGCTTCTTGAAGCGCCAGCCAGTTTGGTAAGTCCAGTCCGGATGCACCAGGACGTCCTTCATCTCCAGCACCAGCGTGTACGGCGGCTGGATGTATGGCGGCTTCACGGGGTCTGGCAGGAGTTTCTCGCGTGACGGCTCCTGGATCATCTTCTGGTAGTACGTCATGGATTTCCACATTCGTTTGAAGTACTGCTGAACTACTGGCATTTTGCTGAACTCATCCTCGATGACCTTCCCCGCGGCGTCTCTCTCCGGCGAGCCGAGATCGTAGATCGCCCAGGCGCCCATGATGCCCGCCGAGGCGCCGAACACCATAAATCCAATCTTCATGTGCTTCCAGGACTTCTCCTTCTCCTTTTTGCTCTTCTCCTCCTGCTCCTTCCGCTCGCGCTCCAACTCTTCCTGGCTCTTCTCCGGCACCGCCGTGTGTGGGAAGAGCTTCGTGAGGAGCTGTGGTCCAGCCTGCGCATCCTGACTTGGCTTGTTTACTGCAAGAAATACCGGGAAGATCAGCGAAAGTGAAACCTTGTGTCTCAAAATATAACCTCACCTTCGGCAGCATAGTTGCACGTCTGTAGGCTGATATTTCTGGCGAAACTGCTTGATTTGAACACTCCGTGCGGGGGCGACGATGGGGCGGCCACTCTACTCAATTGCAAACACCGGGAGAGGGATAAAATGCATCTTTGAGCCATAATAAACACTTAATCTTCCCAGAAAATTCCTCTCCTCACGGAGACTGTTATACACAGCTGGAGATCTGAACCGGGTCACTTCTGGCGGCGGCAGGTATAACAAAAGATGCTGCAGCGCGGGAATTCAAAAGATCGAAAGGATAAAAATGAAGAAAATATGTGAAAATGTCGCAGAATTACTTCTTCGATTAAGTTATTGACTCGAGAGACACAAAAAAACACCACAAAACTGTTATACAGCGAGATGCGCGAAAATTCAAAACATTGAGCTGAATTTCTGCGAATTTCTTATGAGAATAATTTATACAATTTATCTACAAATTCTTGTACATTGACTTATTGAGGCAATTTGAGATATGGGCTATTCCTCGAGGAGACTGCGAACGACATCCAGATTGGCCGGGGCGTTTGTGAACACATTGGCGGAAAATGTTGGTTCGCTGTCCGCACTGATGACTCTGCACTGATTGGCGTCCTCAATCTTCATCCCGAATCCGCGGAATCTCTCGTCAATGGTGTACAGATCGCTGCCGCCAGTGTAGGAATAGAAGGGCTTCCCGCTGAAGGGATTTATGAAGTCTCCCCAGTAACCGCAGTGTCTCAAGCGACTGCAAATCTCTCTGGCCGCGAGGACGAACTGAGGAGAGAGAGAGAAAATCAGTAGTTCGGCTGTCCGGAAGGGTGCCAGAGGAGGATTCTCACGTCTTTGGCGCTCTTCTCCGTCTCCACCGGGGAGGCGAGGGTCACGAGGGTGATTTCACTGGGCGAGGCGACCTCAGGCGCGGTGGGAAAGAGCTCCTTGAGGGTGTTGCGGATCAGGAGCGGACATCTCTGGCACGTGACGTGGAACTTGAGTGGGGACTTGGCGTCAAAGTCCACGAGATCCTCAAGGGTGACATTCGACGAGATCGTGGTGGATTGCGTCAGCCAAGCGGGGCCCAGCGATCCGGGCAGATAGAAGCGACTGGGCGAGAAGAGCGCCAGCGAGCCTCCCTCGCCGCCAAGGGGGCCACCGTCGTCTATAAATAGATGCGTGAGACGCAGATTGATAAGCACGAGAGGAAGTCCGATTGGGGAAAACAACAAGCATAGGAATTTCATGAGGCGCATATTGTCTCACCTTGAAAGTCACGGATTTTCACTATTTTGTAGGAGGAATCAATGTTCTTGGGATCACTTTTCCGGGAGTACCACTTCAGGCAGCCCATGGCGAAGGCAGTCTCGATGGCATTCACTCTCACTTTTAGCCTTTTCAGCAACAGTATTGACATAATTTACGTTTTATGCGAATGAATCAAACACTCTTCTCGGACTTCAGTCTCACAATGACATTTTTTGGATGGTCAAGTGTCAAAATCAGCTGAATTCTAGCACTTTGTGTTTACATTTGTAGTTTAGTGACAGTTGACGCTTTTCGCGGGAGCATTTGGGGAGCTGAACATCACAATATTGCCTAATTTCCCAGCACTTTCCCCATGCTCTCGATAAGACACTAGAAAACACCATGGAAAGTGAGCGTGAAATTGGTTAAATACAGATTAAGATTTCCTTCTAATTGGCCGGCCTTTCAGACGACGACCTGATCGTGGAGATCCTGGAAGTGTACATCAACTACATCCTGTACGGGCGCCAAGTGTATCCCAGTGCGATCTTCAGGAAGCGCAGATCCTTCAGCACCTTCGTCTACAAGTCCATCTATCCGCCCCTCAATGACTACCTCAAGAGCATCCTGGAAACCGTGCGCACGCTGAAGCGGAGCAAGAAGCTGCACAAGGTGGAGATGCTGATCTACCAGGGAGACACGATCCTCGAGAACTACATCTTCGACATTGAGGATCTGCACGAGATCGGATCCGATGACAAGTACTTGATTGAGTTCGAGGAGAACATCAAGCGGTCCATCGCCGTTCTCGAGGGCAGACTCAAGGGCCTGAGGCCACTGCAGGGAGACACGAGCTTCAAAGTCGTCCTGCACACCACACAGTCGGCCTTCGTGTCGCTGGGCGGACAGAAGCACCTCGAGGGCTTTCCCTGGCTCAAAGCCAGCGACATTTCGCCGGAACAGAAGCAAACAGCCACACTTTTACCCATCACAACCGCGCCTTACGTGGGATTGCAAATTTACGCCGAGGAATACAATGTCTGAAGACATTCCTGATTCGATTTAAGTATTTATTTCCATGCTAGAGAATTCTGTAATCGTCTCAAAGAGGGGAAGAGAATTGAGGTAGAAAATTGTGTACAATTTTTTCCATTGCTGAAGCTCTAAAATTTTACATCTTCCACAGGAATTTCTTCGATTTTGTTGTTAGAAACGAGCCAAACACTTCTTGTCTTTCCCTTTTGGATGTACTTCACGGTTGCCTTTCCAACGACTTCGCAACTGTAAGTAATTCGTTGAGATTATATTAGAAGATATGAAAAATTGAGAATTTTCTACTACCTTTGGAAGAAGATTTGACTCCTGATAGCATCAATCTGCTCCTTGTTCGGCATGAAGGTGAATTGAAAGCAATTGTGAGCCATTTCTGTGTCAGTTGGTCCTGGACAGAGGCTGAGGAATTTGATTCCCAGGAAGTCGCGCTTGTGCGCCAAGGCGCGAGTGAAGGCAATGACGGCGTGTTTCGTGACGGAATAAGTCGGTCCCAAGCTGAATGGCGCCAATCCAGTATCAGAGGAAACGTTGACAATCACGCCGCTTCCATCTGCTCTCATCTTCTCAATGGCGATGATCGTGGATTGAATGACTCCGTTCAGATTCACGTCCACGACTCTCTTGGGCATGTTCTCGTTGAAGGTCGCCGCGCAATTCACAACGATATCCAAACCTTTGGTCTCTTTCACGAATTCTCCGTAGCATTTCTCCAATTCTTCCTGCGAAGACACATCCACTCGGTAGTATTTCACAGCGATGGCAGGGAATCTCTTCCTCCACTCTTGCACAACGAATGGCTCTTGTGAGCTGAGGTCCAGGACAGCGATGCTCTGGATTCCATTCTCAAGGAGTTCCTCAACAATTGCAGATCCGATTCCTCCAGTTCCGCCCGTAATCAAAGCACTTTTTGCTGCTAAAGACATTTCCTGTTCACTGACGGTTTCCAAAGCTCACTGACCGCAATCACGTAATGATGAACAGTGGAAGTTCAAGAGCGTTGAAACTAGTCTTCCTTATCTGTCTTCCTAAGACGTATTATCTACACTTCTTTCTGGGCCAAAGCACAACTCTGATTGTGGTGGTCAGTCAAAACGATCTAAACACAGTCACAAAATTAAGAAATTATCAAGAAAGTAAGATTAATTTGGAAAAATAAATGATGTATTGATATTTTTAAGGATATTTCAAAAGCTTAAATTGCTTAAATCGACGTTCATTCATTGCTTTCTTCATAAAAATAAGAATTAGAAATGAATATTTGAATTGAAGAATGTAAGACAAATTTGCAACTGTCTTCGCCACGCCTGGGGAAACCCTGGAAGTGACACAGAGGCTGGGAAAGTCGTGCACAATATAGCAGAGGAAAACCTGGCAAAGGCCGCAAGAGGGGTTGTTCTGCGCAAGAGTTGCGTGTCCTGAATATCCTTCCATTCCCATAGAGATGTGATTTTTCACTCTCCCCTGCCTGTTCACATTGTGTTTGTTGTTCGCGAGCATTTGGGGCAGAGTTTAATATTGCAGCGTCCTCAATTGCTGAAGAAGAAAGAAAGGAAAGAAGGTTGTGCAGTGCATTTCGTCTGGTCATCTTCAAGCAGGACAAAGTGTTCGGGAATCACTTGGGATGCTGAGAGAGTGACATGAAAAATTGGTGTTTCTGTACATTTTTTCCCATCCGCAGTGCACGAAATTGAATATTTACGCCTCAGTGCTTCTTGTCCAGTCACACAGACGCTCTGTGGGTTATTTTGAGTGAAAAGAGCGATTATTATATGAAATCATACGGCCTATGTGGAGGTATTACATGACAAAAGAGACCAACAAATTGAGCGTTGAGCATTGGACATCAGAATCTGCGTGGCATACGCCTTTCTGTGTTGCCCCATTTTGCCCATGGCATTCACTGGGACGCTGAGGCCTCGCGGCAGAGACGCAAAAGCCAGTCATCAAATTAAATCATCATTTCGCCCAGTGCCACAAAGGGAAGTGTGAGGGAATTTATTGGTGAAGTGCGGCGACAAGCAATAAGGGATGTGGTGTCTTTTTTTGTGTCTGCCCCATGTGCAAAATGTCTATGTCGATATATGTGTGCTCAGTGTGGAAAATGTAAGGAATTTCTCCACAATGTATTGATTCTCGGGTCACGACAAAAACACTGCTGCGTCTGCTGAGGTGCACAAGCAATACTGCTCTGGCTGCAGATATATTTTTCAAGTGAAGAGAGAGCGAGGAGGAGACTCAGAGTGGAGGAAAACACTGTGCTTTTGGTGAAGACCTGGGAAAATCGATAGAGTAAAATATAAATGTGAAAAAGGGTAAGGATAGCAGGACATTCTTCTCCCCAACAAAGCTGCCACAGAGTAAAAGTAAAAGCTCCCAAAATAGGCTTAACAGTGAACAGAGAGCAGAGTGCTTTTCCGCGTTCTAGAGAGACAAAGCAAGTGCGACGAGGGTGGAGGACTCTTGCCTCCTGCCAGTCCCTCCAATCCGCAGATCCACACCCTCTCGCGCTCTGTCACACCGCGAGGAGAGCTTATGCAATCAGCTATGATTTGAAAATTCCACACTTTTGCTCCTCGTTTGCGCGTCTCGTCGCTGCAGAAACGGGTACAAAACAACGCAGAGCCACTATTGACTGTGCGAGACAACAAAAGACAGATCTTCCCACACCCCAAAACGTCTCCCACGTTTCCCCACCTGTGAAGACTTAAAGTCTCTAATTGGGACAAAAGGACACTGCCAACATTCACTCCTCCGAACGGCCCAATTGCGAGGCAAAGAGACTAATTGATACCATCCTCGAGAGTGCTAATCTCTCATAATAAGCCCATATTAGTAGAGTCACGTATTTAGGACACACAAACACACACACTGCAATGGTTTTTGTGCAGAGTGAGGAAGTTGCTAAAATTTGGCCATTCCTCCTTCAAGTAAGTCCGCAATGTCTCATTGTGCGTCACCCTCTCATCACCCATCGCATCATCCGCATCTTTGTCGTCTCGCGTCCTCTTTGTTCTCAGTGTTGCACTCACACATCAATTGACACAGTTTCACATGTGAGGCTGCGCCCATTCCGCCCACTTTCACTTTTTTCTCTCCCCGACGCCGCAGGGTGTGATGGACACGTCAATATGTCCCACCAGCCAGCCGGACATGGTGGAGGTGCTCCTGTGGACGACGTGCGCCGTCTTCGGCTTCGTCTACATGATGCTGGGCTACCGCTGTCTCAGGGCCATCGGCTTCCTCACGGGCCTGGCCGCCGGCGCGGGATGCGTCCTGTGGCTGCAGAGGCACAAAACCCTCCTCGGCAGTCCTGGCGATTCAGGTGAGCCGCAAATCCCTCTCTGCCTTGATCAATATTTTCAAAATAGCCTGAATTTACATATTATGGCTTTGGCAGCAAATCAAATAGCTTTAATTAGAGTATAATGAAGATTTAAACGGAATTTCACTCCAATATCGTAAAATACCTTTACGTAAATCTGAAGCAAATGTACTCAAAGTTCGGCCCTGGGAAATCAACAGAATCCTCATTAATAACTATATCGCACAATTGATGAATAGAACTCAAGTTAAACTTTATGCAATAGTTAAATAGCGCCTATGTTTACCGGCATTGTTAAGTCTTTTGTGACTCCAATGAATTACAATAAGCTGACCTCTGGGAATCAGTGAGCGAGACCGCGGAATGTGATTGAACTGCCTAAATTCACACCGCGTGTCACTGTGAAATTGCATGAAAAGTGACCAAAGAGAATTCATGCTAATAGAGTTACATTCCCGGAAGAGTGATGCAAATTCAACAGCTTGACATCCTTCTCTTCCTGCTCTGCAGCTCTCGCCGTGGCGGCTGGCCTCTGTGGAGCCATGCTGGGCTCCACTCATCCCGTGGCGTCTGCTCTGGTCAGTGCGATTGCAGGAGCGATAATCGCCGGCGCCACAATGGTCCTCTGCATCGCCACGATGCCCGATCATGAGTTTGGAGAGCGAGAGATCGTCGTGGCCGTGTCAGGAGGTGCTGTAATATTCGCTGTGATGACTCTCTGCTGTGCTAAGTTGATCACAATCGTCTCGTCCAGTGTCATTGGCTCAACGATGGTTCTGCTGTCCGTGGACTTCTTCCTGCACAGCCTCGAGACGGTGAAATGGGTGAGCATTAAGACTGAGGAGTCCTGAGATTGTGTGACTCTTCAAGTCTCTGCTTGTGTCTTTCCAGATAGTGGCCATCAAGCCCACAGCAATGCCTCCGCCGCCGTGCTGGGGAGGCGTCATCATGTGCTCGTGGCCAGTGACTGCTCTGGTGGGTATTCTGGCGCAGTGCTTCATCACGGCGTGGCGACTGGATCACAAGAAACGCCCTCAACCGTATCGCAGACGCCTCGAGGCGCCCGTGACGGTGCGCGGGCTGCCGGAAGTGCCGGCAAACAGGCCGCCCAACCCCCAAGTTCGCCCCAGAGAGACTCGAGAGGAGGCCAGACAGAGGAAGTTCCGGTATTTGTATCACATCCGCACCTCAAGAGGCGACATCATCTCACAGGTGAGACTGAGATCTTATCGCGCTGACAAATTGGGGTGCTGAAATTGGCGATTTTCTTTCAGAATTGCGCTTCCGCTCTGCAGAAGCACATCCAGCCACACTCGGGATCGTCGTCTGAGCACTCCACCCACATGACACACCTTCCGGACCCTGTGGGCCTGGACTCGAAGTCCTGAGGCCACTGCTCAAATATCTACTACTAAGTCTCTGTACATTCTCTCTTCACCGCACTCTCTTAGGAGACTCAGTCTCGCGCCCAGGAAGACGTATTCAAAATACAAGGAAGGAAAATCTAATCAAATGCTATAAAGTTATAAACTATATGACAAAGGCCTGAATATCAAATATTCAGCTATATTTCTCTGTAGATTCTCATCAATAATATGTATTGTTAGGTGGAGGAGAAGAAAGCCAGTAGAATTCATTTTGATTCAGAGACAATATCCAAGACATTTGTTGACTCATGAAAAGCTTCCAAAGACATTATATCAATGGAGTTCAATGTAATTAAAAGTATAACTTAGACTGTAAGAATTTATGAAATCGAGGGACAAAAATATCGGGGCGCTTCCGGAAGTATCGCCGGACGCAACTTTGCGTGATGGAATCGTGAGAAAAATCGTGTGACGACAAAATTTGCTCAAAACTCTATGTTGAGGATTCAATCAAAGTTTATATTATGAAAGAAGCGTTCTTATATGTTGTAATTTATATTTAAATAAAGAAATTCAAGTCAAAATATGGAATGTAGGGCGTTTTATCATGTTTTTTAGAATCTAATTTCACTTGAGGTTGATTTTTATTGTCGCAACTGTCGAATTGAAATGCTTTTGGCGCTCATGGGGAGGAAATTGAGCAATTCGAGTCGCAGTGAGTTTGCGTCTTTGCTAATAAACAGCAGTTGAATAATTTAAACAACTTCCCAGAATTCTGTGAAATAATACATGAACAAAGACTTGACTTCATTTACCCAGGGTTTTATAATAAATGCAGAAATTGCAATTGCAAAATGTCTTAAGACGTCTTTACCATACAAACTGCATTGCAGTATTTTCTGCTTCTCAATTCTTCCTTGCTATTGTTGAACAAACCAGATATTTTGACTGAATTGTAATAAAATAACAAGATTTTCTTTCAAAAGAAATTAAAATATTCCTTCACATTTCGGCTTCAACTTTCTTTATGCAGACGTGCTAGATTTATGCGTAAAACCATATTTCACATCCCCAATCAAACTATCTAGGGAAGAATAAAACACTGAAATATGACGAATTTTCGTATTGTATTTTACGTTAAAAATTATTGCTATTTTGATTTAGTGTCTCTCGAGACATTTTCACTTGGAGTTCTTTTTGCATCCGAAACACATAACAACATTCACTCTGTACAGCCGAGAAGTCGATTGCGTGCTAAATATTCTGCACACGATACACGGGCGTCGATGTTGAGAAGTTGACGTTGGTCAGCAGCAGAATGCCCAGCGGAATCAGGATGCTGTTGATCCAATTCCGCGAGAGGCCAAGAGAGGCCGTTTGCATGGCTTCTGGGTGCTCGCCTGAAACGATAGCCCGAACTACCTTCAGAATTAATACGAAAATCCCAAGGCTCACTCGCAAATCTAATCCTTCACGCCTCCCGCGAGCGCACACATCTTCGGGCGCGCTCTAATCGCGCCACGTGTCGCGGGGGGAGTCGCCGAAGGGGTGGTACATGCGATACACCTTACCATTTAACACATGAACTCGAACACTGGCAACATCTGCGTTTGATGGAGAACAGGAATATTTGCCAGAATCCGCCAAGTCGGCATTCTGTATTAGCAAGTGAGACGTGGTGACGTCGCCTTTCTCCGTGATCACCGAAACGCCTCCTCGAGTGCTGTCGTAGTTAATCACCTGCAGGACGAGAAGAGAATTCGGTCAGCAGAGAGAATGGACAGATGGAAAATGCAGAGAATACTTTTGCGGAGGAAAAAAACGCATGAAATTTGAACAAATTTACTCTTAAAAACCCGCATAAATTTCCTTGTAAAACAGTTTTTAAGCTGCTTAAAAATGCGTATCACAAAGTATTGAACGGAATTATTGTATAAAAAGTCTATATCGTTATTATTACATCGGCTTATGTGTTTTCCCAGGATATTAACTGAAAGTATTCCATTGGGAATTTACTATTTTTCCGATGAGTGGCAAATTTTAGCAAAAAATGTGTTATTTTCAAATTTATTGATGTAAAAATTATAGGCATTTTATGTATGGAATAGCAGCAGCAAAAATTATTCAAATAGTTCTCTGGCGAAAATTGAAACAAAGATATTCATAAAAAGGATGAGAAAATTCATTAAAGCATTTTCCTTGTGCTTTTCAATTTGCTGCAAGAAATACTCAAAGGAATGAATTTTAATTGTCAGGGAAATTAGGGTGAAAATGAGTTGAATTCGTCGCCTGAGACTTTTAATTGCAATTTATCTGCTGCAATTAAAATAGTTTTGTGCGAATTGCGAGATGGCGATGCATTTTGAGCCCATTGGGCGTAATTTCATTGAATATTCATGATTATTTTGATATTTGGCCACGGGGATGATCCAGAGAGATGAGTTGGCAAAATCCAAAGCTCTGTGCGAATGCTGAACATATGCGGAATCATGGGAAAATCAATACATGCTGTGCTGTGAAATGAGAGTAGACAAAATGAAAATTTTCAATTGATGCTCTGGCATTTGTGTCGAGGCGTTCTGTGGCCTCGGGAGAGTTGTTAAAAAGTGTATTACACACGGGGAAATTGAATTTTCTGGGAAATATTTTGTACACTTTTCCCCCATCATGTTGTCATCTTGACAAATTTCCCCATCACGCATTATTATTGATAAGTCATTTCAATTGAGACTCTGCGTGATCATGATTGAATGATTAGAGTGATGATATAAAATTCATGTCACGCCTCTGTATTTCATTATCAATTCATTTGGAAGATGCCTGTAAATTATTTCGCGCCTCAGAGAATCTCTCAGAATTCGTTCAGATTGCAGCAAATGAGCGCATCTGCTTTGGATGTTAGGAAACTATTTCTCTCAATGCATTCTGCATTCCTCGTGAGATAAAATAAATGAATAACACTAGAAGTCAAAGCGTGACTTCTAACTTCCATAAGACCGATTTCCAAGTAGAACATTTCTCTCTTTCTCGACAGTGAGGAAGTGCGAAAGTCACTGTGAAAGCTGAGAATATCTACAAAATTCCTCCTTCAACTTCCGCAATGATACACGCTCTCTCTCTCTCTTCATGCTGTGTTTACCGGATAAATTAACTATGGCGAAAGCAGTTAAACTAAAAGAATTCATTTTCTGGGTGTCGAGAGAAATTTGCATAACCTAATTCAATTCACTCTCGCTCGATTCTCTATGGCACTGAAATTCTCCGCTGTAGTTTTCTGTTTGCCCAAGAACTTAGTGAGCTACAGTGATAATTAAATTCTCTTATCATACCTCATCGTGATGAAACCAAAATATGTATGCAGGTGGGTCAGCACTGTACTTAATTGAACATGTGAGATTAATGGTGCTCCCTTTTTCCACGTGCAGATCTGGAGCTCCCAGAATTGTGGCCGTTGGAACTGGATTGTGTGGAGATGGAGAAAAATTATGGGATAAATTTTCATGTCTCATAAATTTGCAATAGAGGTGAAAATTGTCCGAATGCACAAACATTAGTTTCAAGTGCTCCTCATCAATTCTTAGGCGGAAAATTGATAGCTTTAGAATAATTTCTTGGGGACAATTAATGTGAATTGCATTACAATTTTAATTTGTATCGTCATTATCATACAAATGGTAGCAAAATAGCTTAAGACACACTTGAGATAGGAGGAAGAAGGATTCTCAACTGGTCATAAATTATCTCAAAATAGAACATTTTGTATTCTAAACCGCTACAAAGCCTATATTCAAAGTGCCTTCATTTGGTTATGAGATAGCAATTTGCATTTCAAATGGCCAGCACCTCAACTCACCTACAACATTGAGATACACGAAGTAGCTGAGGATTGGTTGGGTTGATATTTGACACTCGTAGACGCCGGCATCTCTCTTCTGCACCCACTTAATCTGCAGCGTCCAGTCGTCGGATTCTCGATGGTAGACAGTTTGAAACCTCTGGTCTGTGGTGTACACATAGCTTCCCACGGTGAGGATGTGAATGTCTCGCTGTCGTATCCAGGAAACCTTTGAGCGAGTTATTATTGAGTGGAAAATGATGAAAAGAGCAACGGGAACAAAGGGGGTGTATGTGTGTGTGTGGGAAAAGTGGTGCCGAAGACTGTTGTGCTGAAATGCTCGAAAAGTTGTAGCGAACTTACTGTTTTATTGCCCAAGTTTCGAACACGACAATTGAGATAAGCGGATTTCCCAACGAGAGCCGTCACATTCGAGAGGGTCATCGGATCAAAATAGGGCTCCGCATAGCCCGATGGTGATGATGATGATGAATATAGCCACGTGGTGGTTTCAATATTGATGTGAGAATTGAAATCCTCGGCGAACTCATCGGCCTGTCCTTTGAGGATAACACCTGCGGATGGCAAATGTGGCTCGTAAGACGCAATGGCAAAAACTACAATGGGGGGATGTCACTGTGAAGATGGGTTTTGTGGCGGGTTGCTAACAGCAGAGGATGAAGGGTTCAAAGGCCGTGTGACAGGGTGTGTCTGTGCAAAAACGGGTGGAAAGTGGCGCGAGGGGAAAAAGCGACTATTTGTTCTTGCTGAATTTGTCTCATTCTGTGTATGAATTGAAGAAAGTGTACAGCCAGAGAGTCAATGTTGGTGGAAATTCTCCTCTTTTGTATCACAAAGTTGTGTTGCTTTCTTTTGCCGCATTCACCCCATCCCCTAATGCCACCCCGGTTCTCTGGGAGAACTAAGGCGAAGTTGCTGGGGATAAAATTGTAAAATGTGTACAAAAGTTAGTTAACTCTAATATAACATGACATATACATAATTCAGAGATATGGAAAAGGAATGAGCATCTCTGGGTGAATTTAGTGGGGAGTTAATGAATAAGGTGACTCATTTTATTGTAACTTTCTTGTCATGATTTTCATTCACCCATTTTCTTGCTCTGCTTCAGCAAAATAATCCCCCAGAGATGCTGGCCAGAGATATGACGGTGCTTTCTTGGCTACTTCCGAGGTTATTTCTCAGCTTTCTGAACACAATGTTTATGGGTGAAAAAAAAAAATAGTGTTGCGTGTCCTGAAGTTTCATATGCGCACATCTTCATGGCTTTCATGTTAATTTTCTCATGTAATTCAGAGCCTAGAAATTACCGTCTACTTTGGAGAGTGTTTTCGTCTTCCCATTGTCAAATACAGTGTTTCAAAGAAAGCCACTTCTTGCAATCTCTATGCGGGGGAAATGGAAAAAGCACAAGCGTGAGAGTGGCAGTGAAGGAAGATTGTTTGAAGGAGAAAGAAATGATTAAGATGATGGTGTGAAATTCATAAAGTGAGCATAAAAATTCTTTCTTCCGTGAAATTAAATATTTTCACTCGTTCCTCTTCGTCCTTCATCTTGGCCAAATAGCATTGGAAGATGTTTTTCGGATGCTCTTCTGGTCAAATTATTTCATTTCGCGCAATCGTTAAATTTGATATTTTTGGGGAAACATTTGGAGCTTTGAGTTTGTTCAAGAAAATTAATGGGGATGATTTGAGTGCTTTTTCGGGTGAATTCCTCTTGAGGCCTCATTCTTCTCCCGGAGGCTAAATGTTTATTTAAGCTTTTGTCGGTTCGCTTTATGGTTTATTTAAGCATTTTTCTGCTCTATACTGGAGTGTTCTTTTTGCCATTGTTGTCATATTATTGCATGTTTGTTGAGTTAACACAGCTGGAAGGGCATAATTATGCACAAGCATGTTTGTGCTGAATAGAAACTATGCTTCGATGGTGTTTGTGATTCCCTTTCTCTGGCCTTATTTACTCACTTGTCAACAATAAATGGAGTTTTATAATGAGAATGATATCTTTTAATTAAATATTTGCAGCTCTATTTTTATTTAATTGACTTCTGCATTAATACACATAATATTAACTACCAAATGGCGTAAAATTACAATTTTATTCTAGATATCAATTTCCACAAAGAGGCAAATTCAGCAGTTCAATTAAAAGAGAAACACAGGTTATTTGTAATTTAATATTTTGTGCAAAGTCTTTATGATAAAAGCAGTAATGCGTGCATAATTACAATGGTTTACCTGGTATGAATATTGCGATTACATATATTGCAAAGCCTTTCATAATATCCAGCGTCATCACGTCATATTTCATTGATTATATATGGAAAATGGTGACAGCCAACACACTGGGAGATGGATTTCTCCCTCTGCTCACACCCTGTTCATATTTAATGTTGCTAATTGAATATCAGCGAGCGAATACACAGTTTTTTTTCCTTTTAACAACACTCTAATGAGCACTCATTTAGCGTTAAGCTTTGATGGTTTATAATATTTCAGTGCTGTGGCAGAAGAGAGTGTCAAACGACGATAGTTTAATCAATTTTTAAGTCACATTTATGCGAATATGAGCTTTTGCAGTATGAATTTTTCATTTTACCATATATAATTATCATTTCATGAAAATGCCCAGGAAATGTTGTGGCAAATTGGAATATTCATTTTATGAGTGACAGCCTATGGGTAAAATTATGGAAAATGCTTTTTTTCTCGTTATTATAGAGTGAGCAAAAACTCAGAAGGGTTATATGTAATAAATATTGTCTATATTTGGAAGTATTATAGCTTTGAAAATTTGTGAAAGCTCTCGGAATGGGAAATATACGAGAGGAAAGCTCTCTGATTTCGCTGTGCGGTTGCTGTTAATTGTCGCCTCTGCGTAAATCCTCCTCGAGACTTCTCAAAAAGCAATTAGTCCATGCTTTATTCACGAAATGTGTGTATGTGTGTGTGAATGTGTCGTGATTTGGAATGGTCATAAATCACACAAGTATTTGTCCCGCAAGACATTCCCGCCTCTTGTACATAAAACGCTGGCGGTGGGGGCGGAATTGGGGGTGAGCCTGAAGAAGTTGCTGTGAAGAATCATGGGGAAAATTCTCTCTTGATGGCGCGCCCCAACTTTCGCATATCAAACAAAGCGGCAAAGGGCTTTCGGATGCCACTTGGAGGGTGTAGGAATGGTCGTGCGAGGAGGAGAGCTTTCGAAATCGATGCAAATAATCAAGTTACGATACGGTAAATTACTCACTGAGGCGCTGGGGGAGCTGAAGTGCTCCGAGTGCTCGGGGGTGGGGGTGGCGAAACTGAGGAAGTGGCCGAGGGTGGGGGAATATCGAGTGTTTTTGGAGTTTCTCGGGTGTTGGGCGAAATGGGAAACATTTTCACATAAGCGGCAAATTGAGTTTCCAAGAAGGTGAGTTGGAAAAGTGCATCAATTGCAACTGGTTGCAATAAATTAACCGCAGTGGAACTCGCTTTCTGATACAACTTAGTTTTCATTCATTTTTCCGCTTCCACTATTTATTCGTTCTACTGCTGTTTAACGTATTGAGTTGTTTGATATATGACTCTGTTTTCCTTGTGTCCAGGCGACCGTGAATAAACAGAAAAGAACAGTGTTTGACATGCCTGAAGAATGTTAGTTTTCTGTATTTCAGCGTTGTCAATTCAATCTAGATGGGAAAAGTGGAGCTATTTTCGCCAAGTCAACTTTTTCTCTTACAAAGGAGCTTTTTAAATGAAGAAATTTATAAATAATCTTACAAGACTCTGTTGGAAAAGCTCTTCATTTGCCTCCTTGGTTATAAATGAGAGACAATCTGGATGTGGAAAAAAGAAGTATATAAATTGAGAATTCCTTTTAATATAAGAAGGAAATTGCAGAGTGCAAAGCTCTAAGTGCCGACAGAGCATTTCTTGTATCGCTTATTGTATATCGCTTGAGAAAATCGTGAAGATGGAATAAATCGAGTCTAGAGAAGGTGTGTGAGTGAACAGAGGTCTTTTAGACATCATTATTAAGTCATTCCCGGTTGATTTCCTTTTGAAAAGCTCCTCGACAATATATTGCCTTTCTTCACATCGCTATGATCATGAAAATATTTATCTTCAGGTGATTCAGAAGGTTATTTATCAAATATTCACTCACAATAATGCGAAATGTTTATCTAGAAAGGACGCCATTATGGACGATTAACGAACTTAGAAATCTGTAAAATTTTCCAGACAACCCAATTTTCTCCTTTTGAAACTGCGTGTCACAGTGACATAAAAGCGCAAAAAGAAGGAAAGATCTGATAGAAATGTAGAAAGTTTTGAAAAGTTTTCATTGTGCCAAACGGACAAGATAGAGAGGATTTTGAGTAAAGGCAAAAAAGGACTATTCAATGGTTTTGTGTGTTGGGTGAATTGAATAGGGAGAAAGTGTGATTCACATTATTGGAGTCTCAAGTATCTGTGAAATATTTCTTCTCAGACCCTCCGTGCAGTTGGGGAGTCTCTATTATGTAGTATTAGGAGATAGAAGAGGGTGATAAATGGAAAGCATGGCCTGAGCCAGAGGGGAGCCGTCAGCGCGGAGGGAAGTGTCGTGAATTCTTATGGGTTTATCGCAATTGGAAAATATTTGAGTGTGAGACCAGGGAAATTGCCAGAGAGAATTTCACTTGTTATTCTCCCGCTGGAACTGTGCTCGATGATAGAATTTATGTATCTCAATATCGGGCGATTCTTTCCGCCCCTGCAAAGGCTGCACAACTCATGGGGCTGTAGCTCGGCATACCCATTTGTCCATTCATCGTGCGGACAACAAAAATGCGGATGCGATGAGCATAAAAACATCACAGGGCGAAAAAATGCTTTCTGCTGTGCCCTTTTTATGGACACGGATCTCCGGAAGGAGGAAGTTTACACCACACAGCTCGCAATGAGCGCCCGGCGATGGCTCAACAAGATGAATCTTCGACTGTCTCTGGTTTTTTAGGTCACAGCACACAACACACTGAACTGGACAAGCAATTTGGCATCCTCACGTATCCCGAGGAGGGTGATTTTTCAGCAGGACACTCCGCAGGGATGTGGAAACACGGCGGCAGCACCGAAATAGGACTGGGTGACGTCCTGTCGCGACGCATTTGGCATTGCGATGATGAGGAGATGATACACTGTGGGGAGCGCGCGCCAAACTCTGGAAGGCACCGCTCGGCGGGGCTCCTGGATGGGTGGGAAAGAGACCGCCTGAGCTGAATTATCCTGGTCGGATGGTCTCCGGACCGCCGTCGAGATGACTCGTGCTGGAGAGCGAGGCGCGTCTGCGCGAGTCAATATCTCCACCATATCGCCAGCGCTGATCAGATGGGCGGCCGGGGCGGCAGCTCCCGGCCGGCGGAGCGCCCCCGCGGAGGGTGGGGAGGGCGCACTGAATGGGATGAAGAATCGCGGCGCTGCTGCTCCACAACGGCGACCATCAGGATCTGGAGAGATGAATGTCTTTCTGGATTACTCACGATGTGTTCCCATTTCTCCGCGCCCGAGAAATTTCCACGATTGCGAAATATTGACTGCGAACATACGTGGATATTCGCCAGGCTACACGTGTTTACTTATTCACACAATATGACTATTGCTCACATAATGCCTCCCGAGATGACTTTCCTCACTCAACACCCACGTTTGATTGAGTTTTCATTTCCTCTCTGCGCGGGCGGGAAAATTCTTCCGTCGCACTTCGTGCTGAACGTCTTTTAGGGACTCATGCAATTTACATATATTGCAAAATGTTGGTTCAGATGCTCAGTTTATTCTTCTAGAGTCGGAATTTCAATTACAAATAAAAGGAAAGGTGTGTTTATATGAATGATTGAAAATGCAAGAAGAATTCGCTTTTTCACAACTGCCTTCAATTTATTTTTCAACTGGAAGAGAACTGGCAAAGGTGTCAACATTAATTGAGACTTTGCAGTTTTTCTGTTCTTCGTCGTTAAAACACTGGATTTAATCTCATTGACTTGTGTTCTGTCGAGAGGAAGAGGTGTGTTTTCCTCTAGATTGACTTCTGTGCCATTCTTCTCTCCATTTTCAATGGCAGTCCCTTGTATTTTCATTCATTCCTCTTGCCTTTTTGTCCTCTGCCACGTTCCCGAAATACACACACTCTCCAAGAGGAGGCCTAAATGCCTTCCTTTTCCTCCCCCTTTGGCAATGATGAGATGATGGCGATTGAGGGAAAGGCAGAGAAAATTCTAACAATTGTGTTTGTGTGTCCCAGAGATTCATTGATTTATATCTCAATTTCTCTCTCTCTCTTTCTACCCATTTCTATTCTCCAACACGTAGTTCCGGGCACTGTTGGTTTGGGGTTTGTTTGTGCTGAAGAAAGTGTGGTTGAACCCTTGAGACAAGGCGGAGAGGAGACGACGACAAAATACCTAATTATTCTTATCCGTAAGCGTTTTTGCACGAAGGTGTGATATTCCATCTTCATCCTCTTCCACTCCCAACTTCATTCACTCCTCCGTCATTGCAAATAGCAGCGAATGGATGCGACAAGAGATTACTGGGTAAGCATTTCGAGGGATCCTGATGATGCCATCAGATGGAGGATATGTGCAGAGTGAGGAAAGATCGCGGGGAAAAGAAGTGTCAGCTGCAGAAGGATAATTTATTCAAGTCAATTGGCCACCACCAATTTCATTCATTTCTGCTCCTCATGTTAATTTCCATGTTCCTCCACCCACGTCAGGCCTCAACACGGCCAATTTCCACTTTGAACCATTTTCCATTCTCTCGTCCTCACTCATATTCGCTCGCATTCCCCGTCCCGCTCAAAAAATTATTATCACACTAATGAGACGTCGAGATGGTAAAGTGTTGGCGTGGGTGTGGGAGAAAAATGTACTGGATGTTCGAGGGCGGAGACCAGAGTTGAGAGGGTCGAGATAGAAGATTGCGGAATAGTATCAAAAGAAGGGTTCTTAGGGCATCAACAGTCTTGTGATTGAATGATTAATCTCGTGTTTCTATTATAGTGTTGTTAACAGGAACATCTAGCCCAATATCATCTGAAATCTTTCATCTACATGAGCAACATCTCTGCTTGTGGTTGTTTTTCGTGGAGCTCAAAGAGTGCTGCAAAGCTTGACATTTCTTGGGGAAATCTCTGTGATCATATTACAATTCTCGAGTGCGTCAGACAGTAGGTAATTTCAGAGCTCTCTGAAGTTTAGTCACAAGTTGAAATGTAGACAATTGTGCGAGTGGAGCTTTTTGGGGTGGATATAATGATGGTGTAATATTTCGCGACATGTTATTGTCTCATGGAATACCTTGTTGATGATATCATGATGACATTCCACCTGACACACTTCTTTGGTCCTTCACCCTCTCATTAATTCATCAAAATGAATGCGCGGATGAAAAGTTTTCCACTCGCAGTTTGCATGTTCATGTTTGTGTGGGGAATTTACTGTGCGAATATAACATCGAATTCGGTGGAGTATAAATTGATTTCTCACAGAAAGTTTCGTACTGCTTTCAGAACTTTCACCTTTTTTTTGCACTCAATACAAGAGACAGAAATGCGAAACGAAAATACATCTTCATGGGGTGGCAGATGATGCAGTGAAACTATTTCTATTTCCTCATCCCCCATCAGATTCTTTCCACATCATTCTCCAGCGGCTCTGACCTGACGCTGGCTGAACTGTAATCACAAGATAGTCTTTCAATTGAATTTTCACACAGAGGAAATGTGATTTTTTTGCTCCACAACCCAAGACAGCCAATGAGACGGGGAGTTGGAGGCTCTCTGTCTAATGGAATGTGTGGGAGGTGAGGAAGGGGTTGAGCGGAGAAGACAAATTTCAAGATAAACTTAAATTTTGTATCATGTGGCGCGCTTTTTTGTCTCCTTTGAATTCCTCGTTCTCGGCATATCTTGGAACATTTTCTTCTCATCTCTCTTTTCGCCTTTCAACCGAAACACCGTGGAATTATCTCGTGAGTGAATGAAATTCCAACAAATTGAGCTTATGTCAAAGTGGATTCCACTGAGTTATTTAAGAAAAGTATAAGAAAGTACGAAGGGGACTTCGACATTGAATTTCGCTTGGTAAACTCGTGCCGCACTTGAGTTTTTAGCCCCCGACGCAGAGAAACCTTAAGAATCCATGCAGAGTTCAGGGAATGCTTAAGGGAAAACTTTCAAAGTGCCATCATAATGCAATGCCATTATATAAACACATTTTATAGTTGAAAAACATTGGAGGTTTAACGAAGCAGATGAGGACAAATGTCGAAGAGGAGAAAGAATAAAGCCGTCATGAATTTATCCATGCTCATTTCTATAACGACTGATGTGTGGATGCTCGAAATACAATTTTTTCAGAGGAATTGCAACGAATCCCAAAATGCTACTGGAATATGAGGGAAATTGTACATTGCATGTTTGCTTTTAATTTTCAGAATTGTTTATGTATTATTTATTTGCCAATGGCTCTTCTCTCAATATTGCACGTTACACAAATACGAATTCCATGTTGACTCACCCACGCCATGCTTCGATCTTGTCACACTGATTCATAATTTTTAATGCAATTTTTAGTGTTACCTTCCATGCCTTAACTTTTCTATTTCTTGCTACTTGGCTTCTTTTTTATACCTTCCGATAAACTTTTTATTGGAGTTTGTCTCGTTGGCGGATGTTTATTTTATGTTGTGAAAGCTCTGGCTATAAATTTGATTTTCTCTGCCAGGAAGAGCTGGAAAAAACTTTCTGTCTCCATGCGTGTGTATGTTTGTAAAAAGTTTTATGTGAAAGTTATTAAGTTTTCCCCGAAAAAAAAGAGAAGCACCGAGAAAAGTGCGCAGTGGGAAAAAATCAATTTGCTTGAAGAAATGAATGAATAAGGGCTGAACTGGGAATTGTAAATTTTTCATCGTGAATATGCGAAAGAACTTCCAATGAATTGAAGTGACTTTTTCCAGCATTGTAAACTATTTTGCGGAGGTGGTGAGAGTGAGAAGGTGGCAAATAAAGAAATGCAATATCATAAATTTCACTTGCAAAACTTTCTCAATTTCCCCAATATCATTTCTTATTCTAGTCATCAGGTGCTCTTTCGGTGAACTTCGCACAAGACCTCTCACTTGGGTAAGGAGATACTCTGTGTGTACAAGCGTCGAAAACGGAGGTCAAAGAGGGCAATTTTGGCTCCAAGATTGAAAATTTTACAGTCTATCTTAGGTGCAGACAATAGATTTGTGTCAGTTTCATATTTCTCTGTTATAATATACTATTTTACAGTTGAATTTTCATACAAGGAGGAGATAATATAGTCAGAAGTGGTGTACAACTCAGAAAGAGTACTTAAGAAGTGGAATTGTTGAAAAACCTACAATATTCCTTTTCTGAGGGATTGCTTTTCTACCAAATTGTCCATATTCTTTGGATTTCTATTGAACTGTGCGAAGAAATAATCATTTTCTAGGTTATGCTACGATTCACAGATGGATTTTGTGAATTTTTCGCACTCTAGCGCATAAATTTTTATGCTAATGTCGCCAAGATTGGTAGTCATTGGCAGAATCAAGGATTTTCATGCAATAAACATTGCTATTTTGAACCTTTGATGCCAAAAACACTGCAAATTTATGTTGAAGTCAAACTTAACTTCAAAACCAGTGTTGTTGACTTGATAACTGTTTCTTTAGTCCACTTTCTATACGATTTTGATTGTAAATCAGCAGTTTTGAGTTTATTGACAAATCAAAAGAGATGATTTTGTGATCTATAAGGCTTCCTATTGGAGCTTTTTAAAATTCCTTAGTGATATTTTTAAGGTTATGGTCAGACAAGATACGCAAAACGGCAGTTTTAAGTGAATTTTTACAGAAATATCGCATGAAATCTTAAGATATTTATTAAAATTTGCGAATTATTGCGAAAACAGGAAGTGGTGTACAGATTAAGAGCACATTATCTCCCCCTTGACTATATACGTCAACATCACAAGTTAAGTAAAGCAAGTTGCAATAAATATGGCTTGAAATACATATTTACACACATAATTGTGTGCATGAGACTTCTTTGACGGGAACAGAAAACAAGGCGCATTACTTTGATTAAAATTCTTGGAAGGAGGACAACAT